ACTTGTTGGTCTCTGCATGGCGCTCGGCATTAATGGGTACAAGAAGGTCTGGTCGGCTCAGAGTCAGTATAATGTGTCTGAGTGGGGTATTCATGCTTCACTGCGGCATGGTATCTCAGTGGGCTAGCGCGATAAAACCAGCTTAAGTCTAGGCTAGTACAAGCAGTCGCACATACACATACACACGCATGCACATCGTCATATGAGCGAAATATTCTCAAGCACGACGTAAAAACCCAATTTCACCTCACAAACATTTCTGCAATGAAATAAGTTTGTGCGATACCCCACCAATACGATGCATGTAACACCCCTATGATATCCGTACATTATACACCAGTATCTCAAACTATTTGTTGGCTGTTTCACTTTTAGCATCCAACAAACATGGTTGTATACATGTGTTTGCCCGGTGTTGTATGTTGTCAGTATGGCGGAGTGTTAATGTGCTTATTACTGGCTTAAACAAACCGTCTAGTCTGAAATGGCAATAAAACTCAACAGCCGCAACGTATGGAACAAACATAGCCATAATTACTCTCAGAGGAGAGGAGTCATCTTCAAACGATGCATGCAACCAAGTTTTTTGTTTTTGTTACGTTTTTTCGTTTCATTTATGCGTATGTCTGTTGAACACTGCATTCCGGGGATTGTAGTTGGTGTTCTCCAGTACCTCCAGTGGAATAATACCCGTGAAGGTCCGGGTTAGAATATTGATCTTCAGTAACCCATGCTTGTCGTAAGAGGCGACTAACGGGATCGGGTGGTCAGGCTCGCTGACTTAGTTGACACATGGCATCGGTTCCCAACTGCGCAGATCGATGATCATGCTGTTGATCACTGGATTGTCTGGACCAGACTCGATTATTTACAGACCGCCGCCATATAGCTGGAATATTGCTGAGTGCGGCGTAAAACTAAACTCACTTACTCCAGTGGAATTTTAAGTTTAAGATCACTAAGATGCTTGTTTTTCAGTCGATGAGTACAGACACTTTAAAACCACATGTCGTAATACATATATCTAGTACTACGCATGCATGCATATATATTGTTATTATTTTTTTAAACGGAATTAATGTTACCACATGTATAGTAAACACATGTTACTGCATATATAGGGCTGCCTGGTCGTCTCAGGCGTGGCAATTAGCTGAGGAGAGTTCCATTCCTTGGACACGTCAGGAACTATACTAACGCCTAGTCTCTGCATGAATATATATAATTTTGATAAACACATTTAAATTGAAAAGGAGCGCCAGGGATACCAGAGATTCAGAACCTGAACATCTTTATTTGCTTCCTTTAGGGTTTTAGCATTGCAGGGAGGGCTGGGCTGCAGGGAAAATAATATGGTTCAGGGACCGTGAGACAGACTACAGTCGGGAACCTAGCTATGGTTGTGAGACTGAATTCACCCTGGCTATATTCTTCGATTTGCCAGCACTTTCTCTGTGTTCGTGATTTCATGGAGGCGGTAAAGGTCTAAGACCCACATCACTTCGGGGAAGCTGGTGATTTCAAGAACGAATAAACTTTGTTGTTTTTTTGCACACTTTTAACCATTACATATAAAAGACTTGTGGTTAGTCTTCAGCGGAACACCAAATTCATTCTTAAAAAACTTATTGTTAATTAATTCCGAGCGGCTAAAAGTTACCAAAAAGCCGTCTGCTTCACTGTCGCTCGCCAACGAAACCACAGAGAGGTTACGTAACTCTCGCCAGAGCACTGCAGCGAACCGGAAGTGACGTTATGTGAGGAAGGATTTTCAGTCAATTGCATATAAAGTGTATAATAACACTGCCACTCACGCACTCACTCAGCGTGATACGTTGGCTATGCTATCAGCCTTTTTCACACTGCGGCGTGAAACAAAACCATCGAGCAAAAACGTAATTTAACACCAGGTAGATGCTTCCATTTGTACGTGTTCCCTTATTTATTTCCATCAGTATATGTTGTGAACCGGTGGATGCACATTCCTCAAGTTAGCTTATACTCCTCTCTTGATGTAATGGCTTGGTTGGTTTGAAGACCAACCTCGTAAACCTTCTAAAGCTCTCTTTAAAATTCAAACAGTTGGGCAGATTTAGGTACTTGTAGATGCCAATTTGTCAAACGTCTTCAATGATCCTTGGTCTGACAGCCACACAGCCGTGTTTGTAAGTTTCACCAAAATGGTAAACACCTCCGCTTCCTGCTACAGGATGTTACTTGTTGTTGCGCTGTCTGAGCATGAAGGGATGAAGACAATGGGTTGTCGGCTCATCTTTCCAAGACATTTCCAAGCTTGTAATTGTGGACTATCTTCCAGTGTAGACTGTGTGGTACCCATGTACTGAGGCACTGGAGGGTTGACATTAGTCATGACTTATGTCGTTATATAATAAGACTGACCACTCCTGCACTCTACTTCCGGGTTTAATATGGTGAAATACCTGAAGTACTGAAAGCGACCCGTGAAGATCCGGGTTTGAATTTGGCTTTCAGTAACCCATGCTTGTCGTAAGATGCGACTAACATGATCGGGGTGGTCAGGCTCGCTGACTCGCTTGACACATGGCATCGTATCCCAATTGCGTAGGTAGATAATCATGCTGTTGATCACTGGATTGTCTGGTCCAGACTCGATTAATTACAGACCGCCGCCATACAGCTGGAATATTGCTGAGTGCGGCGTTAAAAGAACAAACCAACCAACCAACTGAATGCGCGGACGGACCAGCAGAAAGGTATAGTAAGACAGGGATAAGCTAGGAGGGCCGGACAGTGACTAGCCAATCCAGCCCATCTGCTGCCCAAGTGTCAGCAGAAAGATAAGACAGGGACAATGAGGGACGGACCCTGACCAGTCAATGTGGCCCATCTGCTGCCGAATGATCAGCCTGACTTCACCGCTTTCCCACGGTAGCCTCTGTCGGACTCTGTGAACTCATCGCCCTGTCTCACACGGTTGTACTACCAGAATACAAAACACCTATTCTTCGTACGCCACTACGACTCGTGTTGTTTCAACAGTGCCAAAGGTGTTACACTAGCCAGCTTGGAAAAATTTCAACATAATTAATGACCTCGGAGTGTTTTCGGAACAACACGCTAAGAAAAAGGGTCTTGCACTATTTTGACTAAGTCTGAGTCAATTTAATTAATACAGGATGATTTTAAACTATTTTGATTAGTAAGCTCGGTTTTACAAATAAACCATACAGGTCCACGTGGTCAGGGACTACTGGTTTATACATATTCTTTTCTATTGTAAATCTAACATTAATGCATCTAGGTACTTAAATATTTATATATTTCCAAGCATATTTCACCAGAACCCTGTATGATACCCACGCACAGCTGAGACAAGTCCCAGAAGAGGGTCAACCAGTACTATTGGAATGTACTTATCGCTTCTAATTACGAAGTGCCAACAAAGTACCCTCGGTAATACAGAGTATATGTACCATGGAAGCTTATTGCCCTCTTTGATCTGTTTCATCACGTAAACAGCGTGTGAAAATGTAAACAATTAGCCGACATTGCGACTACACACATTAGTCATGAAGACGTCGGCACCTTACAATCTAAAATATTGTGAATACGCTGTTGATATCGGGGTAGGGCGAGATTGATGGAATCAGGTAATCCTTCATCGACTGTGCCCAAAGGACCTCAATCATGGCTATTCTGAGATCCCCTGAGGCCACGGGAACACGAGTCCAAATTATGTTTAAGATATGTTCAAGATTAAAGGAGTTCTCGAGGACATACGTGAGTTCTCACAGGTTGTTTGCAAGTAATCGTTTCATTTGAAAATATTGTGAGAAGAACCCATATGTGTTTGTTTGTGCGTTCAGCAACTTTCTGCAAGAAATCCGATTGCACAAGTCTTCAAAAAGCATGTGATTTTACATGTGGCGGAGGATACGAAGACGCGTAATCTTTCAATTTTAGTCACTCTCCTAACAAATCTGGTTTATGTTTTGGTGAGGGAATGAAATTATGTAGACTTATAGGAGGTTTTTACCAAAAGTCAAGGCATTGGTGACAAAGGTGGGGTGGGGGGGGTGGGGGTGGGGGTTGGGGGTGGATTGGATTGGGGGTGTTGGGGTGTTGGTGGTTATTGTAAGGGTTAGGAGCTGGAGTCTAGACCAGGGAAACCAGTAATTAAAAGCATGATCCACTTCAGACGCGATCGGGTACTTTGCCACTACCAGCCAAGAAAGTCAACCTAAGCACCCGTTTTCACAGGCATGGGATGATGGGCACCACAGGATTCAACTCCAGAGTGAGTGAGTATGGTTTTACGCCGCTTTTAGAAATATTCCAGCAATATCACGGCGAAGGACACCAGGAATGGGCTTCACACATTGTACCCATTTGGGGAATCGAACCCGGACCTAAAGCGAACGCTTTAACCACTAGGCTACCCCACCGCCCTCGATTCCAGAAAGTGAGGTGAGGCGTAATAGCGTTTAGGGTCGCATTCCAGGTCACTGCCCTTGTATAGAGACTTGTGTGTGCGTGCGTGCGTATACTGTCTTCTGACAAGAATTGTCTACCTAGGGCAAGAATTGATCTTCAGTAACCCATCTTGTCGTAAGGGTGTCCTCTTATAAGTTAGACGTCTCATTTGTCAGACACGTTAAAACAACAAAAGCTATGGTTGGTTGCACTCAGGTACACTGCTGATGTGGTTGACACATGTCATCGTATCCCAATTGCGTAGATCGATGTTCATGCTGTTGATTGTCTGGTCCAGACTATTTACAGACCGCCGCAATATTGCTGGAATATTGCTGAGTGCGGCGTTAAACAACAAACAAACCAACCAACCCACCACAGAAGACTCCGAGCTTTATCCCTTTAATGCCGAGAGTCAAGCAGGGAAACACAAGCGCCATCTTCTAACACCTTTTGGTATGACGCTTCAAATGGATCGAACATACAACCTCCCACTCTCTGGACTGACGCTCCAGATGGACAGACAAACACAGAACCATTTCCGATGATGACTAAGTGTCTTTATTGCATGAAAATAACATGAAACATGACTTTGTTTGGATTAAATGCTGATACATGTACATGCACTGTAACCTACATCAGTGGCTACAACTTCAATACATCACAAGCACTGGAGACACAGCCCGTTAGAGACATCATGGCATACAAAACACAACAATAACATCTCAAGTCTTGGCCTCAAAACCCTCTTGACTTTCACTGTGATTACTTTGCGTAAAAATATATAATTCTTTTGCCAAGAATTCAGGCAGAAAACGCCTTCGCCAGATTCTTTTTATAAAAAATGAAACAATTTGTAACTCCATCGCGCTCTTGATATTTTTCCAAATTCGTAAAAACGAACACTCACATAAATATTTTTTAAAAGTTCGCAATGAATATATGTAACAGAGGTACATCGTTCCACGTACTTCCCAAGCTCTATCGGATTCTTGCAACAGAAAATTAATATTCAACAGAAAATACGTAAAAGACGATAACTGATACAAATCCAACATTTTATTAGCGCTTCACTTAATTGGCCTCTCCGATTCTTCTAAACATAAATTCCCAGATTAGTTGGACAGTCTGTCACATCTACACAAACCTTTACCTCGTTATATCTGTTACTCATGCAGCTGTGATGACTCCATTACCCATTTATGACATCCTAGGGGTGATGTTTACCCGAGTCTAAACTGTCCCCAAACGCCCTCTGTGTAAGTGGAGAACCGTTAGTGCTATAACATGGCCATTGATACCAGTAGCGCTACCAGAGCGCCAATAGCACCGGTTGTGTGAAGAATGTTTTACCGGTATACACACTTCTAAACCAATCCCTCAAAAGCGAACACTTTGTGACCACGGATGGACCATAACACATGTATTACTGGAGAGGCACAATGGACATATATTTAAATATTGGAATTATCACACAGATAATACAGATAGGTCACACTGTTTTATTTCATGATAAACATAAGATCTTGTGCAAAATACATGGTGTATGTGTGTGTGAAGAGGGGCAAGATGGCCGTGTGAATAGTGATCAAATTTTTCAATGAATATTTATTTTACCATATGCTCAGTGTTTGTTAAATTTTTAGTTACATTTCATTTGGTCAATATGCATCGATTTACAATGAGTAGATTGTGTGTTTCCTTCTCATTTCTCCAGCAATGGATAACAGATACAAGTGAATATATCACTATTGTTTAAAAGTTGCTCGAGAAGTATACACATTTTAAATTCTATTTAATTTAAAGTATGACAAGAATATCCAGTGAAATTATATACTTCATCAATACATGTTTTCCGTATATATATAAAAATATCCCTTGTCTATTAAGTGTCCGAGTTGGAACCAAATCTCATACATTTAAAACCAATATTACCATCAACCCTTTTATAGCGAACTTAAAGCACATTTTAACATAGCAATGATTGTCGATACATAGTTAAAATATGTTATCAGGTTAGGGTAAATATAATATGTTTTCTTTAAAAAAGAAATATTTATAGAGAATTAAAAAAACTTAATGTGTAAAGGTTGATAGTTGAAAATTGAAGATGCTTCCAAAACATTTCTTTTTCCAAAACACTGTGCTGCAAATACTTTGTGACAAAAACGTCATGTTCGATATACTGGTGGATTTCTTCATATTTAAATATACATCTAAGTAATATTACAAAAATAACAGACCTAGGAGCACAAGAACAATATATCGTTACTGTTGTAATATGATTGAGGTATTCATTGAAGATAAGGTGATAGAATTTGACATTCTGAAAAGTAATGGTCAAAACCTTCATAAAGTTAAAAAATAGAATTTTCTATTTTAGTCTGTGAAATGGCAAGTTGTCTCCACAGTCAATTGCACATACCCTTTTAAAAGCATCATCTCAATTAACTGAAATTATTTTAAATTTGAACAAAGATATCTAGAATGAAAGTTAATATTGTTCTCAAAATTACTGAAATTATGCATAGTCACATATGTTAATGCTTTCCATTGAAACTGTCAATGATCATAATTTAAATTTTTAAAACTAAAATAACTTGCCCATCAATGTTTAAATTTATGCAATACTAATTTGAACTTTTATCAAACTTGGTTCAAAGAAAATCAGTTTTGACCTCAATCACTTTCTTTGCATCTTAAAGTGTTGTAATATTTTGACTGCATGCTTATCATGCAAAAATATATAACAAACCATGTTATACAGTTGAAAGGATTGATGGGTAATGTCTTACAATATATAATCATACAAACAAATTCATCTGCCACAGTCATTAATCACTTACAAAGACCTGATAATATCATATCGTAAGGTTTCATCAAGTGCTCCTGACAAAACCTGTCCTAACTTTATCAATGACATATCAAGTTTACAAATGTCCATTTCATCCAGTTTAGGGAAAAGCTTCTATGTCATGAGTGCCTTCATTGAAGAAGTCCATCGCATCTCTACATGTACCGGTAATGTCTGTTAGGGTCGTGTCTGCTAACTTCCCTGTGCTGGCGGGGACGTGACATGACAGGCACACCCACGTCCGTTGTCCGTATACCCCCAAAGGGCTGTCGACTCCCGTATCGGGACAAATCCTCTTCACTATGTACAAAGTTTCTTTGTAGCTCGCTGCTGTTTCGCTGTTGCCGCTTCTTCCTCTCCACAGCGGTTTTCACTTTTCCCCAGTTGTCATCGACTCGGCCTCTGTAGAGTGGCTGTTGAAGTAAGACAACATGGCATCAAACAGCCACATCCTGGTTGAGAAAGTTAAAACTACTCTTTGTCTATGTTATCATTATTACAGAATTTTGGGCACCAACCACAGATGCATAATTTCAATTTGATACCACTCTTCCTCAGTCTATATACACCATGTCATTGTATTGCAAATTCAACACAATTCAACAGACCTACCACCAACCTTCTCTTTAAATTCAACACAATTCAGCAGACCTACCACCAACCTTGTCTTAAAGTCAACATAATTCAGAAAACATACCACCAACCTTGTCTTAAATTCAACACAATTCAGAAAACCTACCACTAACCTTCTCTTTAAATTCAACACAATTCAGCAGACCTACCACCAACCTTCTCTTTAAATTCAACACAATTCAGCACACCTACCACCAACCTTCTCTTTAAATTCAACACAATTCAGCAGACCTACCACCAACCTTGTCTTAAAGCCCAAACAATTCAGCAGACCTACTGACCATGCCCATGATTATACTCGACACATATTAGCAGACCTACCCACTGACCCTGTCTTCATACTAAGTTCAACCATAACAACATTACTGAACAGTTTGTTTCACGTACCAGTTCCCGGGACTCGTACAGGTGTATCGTCTCGACATCCTGGTCCACTGGCTGCCGGTCGTCTCCAGACCTCTGACTGTTGTTGGAAGACTGTCCTGATGACTTCCCTGAAACCGGCTTCCTGCCCTGAAGTAAAGTAGATGTTTATGTACAAATTGTCAAACTTACAAAGTCTTTACATGGCTCCATTTCCTTGTGAACACCTGGTGTCATCACTATTTCATAGTGATTCATAAACACATGCACTGTCTATAGTCCGTTCAGCTCAAAAGCGGACCGATGAATTGCAATCTAACTCGAAAAAAAATAAACATAAAATACTCAATGAAACACTGAACAAAATCAATTCGTCAGACCAACTCTGTGAAGCTTTTGCAGAATTTACGTCCTAAAAATTAAAAAGTTGTTTAACAAACTGTCATTAAAATATTGACAATGTTCACTATTTGTTACGAGGGAGGAGTGCAGAGAAAGGGACAGCCAAATGTGCGAGAAAGGATGGAGACGGCACAGCACAGATTAATGAATCACCCGGCTGTCCCGTTCTCTGCACTCCTCCCTCGTAACAAATAGTGAACTGTGTCAAAATTTTAATGATAGTTTGTTAAACAACTTTTTAAATTTTAGTACATATATTCTGCAAATAAATCACAGAGTTGGTGTAATTTTTGATTATGATCAGCATTTCATTGAGTATTATATGTTTATTAGTTTTCGAGTTAGATTGAAATTCATCGGTCCGCTTTTGAGCCAAACGGACTATAGTATCATATTGTGACAATCACTGGATTGTCTGGTTCATACCTGATTTGTTTACAAACAACATCATGCAGCTGTAATCCTGCTGAAACAATATCTGCTCATGATATAGTCACAGTTGTACAATGTTTCAAGAATGTGGAAAGGGTTTTGTCGCTTCTATTTACTTATTCTTTTGTGAAAGATTCTGGTCAGAAATTAGGGGAAAATGTTAAGCAATTGCACATAAATCTATGCATGGTTTTCAAAAAGATCTTTGAAGATGCTATATAAGCAGTGTTAGTTATAAGTTTGTTGTCAGGCCTTCAAATCTCACCTATTGTGCACATGCTTTTGGTCAGGTTTATGAAGATGTTTCAGCAATGTTCAGTTTGCAGATCGTAAAGTACCATGGCATGAGGCTGTCAGCCAGAGATTTGTTTAAGATTTGTATTACACAAAACAAAATTCAATGGAGCAACAAGCTGTGTACCCACCAACCCAACCCACGCTGGATCTGCAAGTGGCCATAGATGGTTGCAGTGGAGACTGGAATTTGCCTACCTACACAGGCTGGTAAATTTGGGGCAAATCAGATTTCGTGTAACATGCCTACTGGTTACTAGGTGACCAGTGTCAGACTGACCTTGTTCTGTTGTCCAGGTCTGGGTGCCTCCCCACTGTACACCTGTTCCACCCTCTTCTTCCTCTCCTGAAAATTGATCTGGAACAAGGAAACACACATTGACAACGAATGTATATTAGTTAGAATTAAAGGCTGCAATGTTTCATCTTGAAAACTGTTTTTTCTTCTGAAATAGACCTTCCTAATTACCCATATTGAGGCACTGGCAATACTCTATCATAAACTACCGAATACTTCAAGATGGCAAAGGTTACCTCAGAATCTGGGTCCCTGTCTTGGATCCGAGGGTCAGCCAAGATGTAAGCAGGAGGTGAATCATAGTGGTCCATGAGGCCATGAGGCCTTGCCTTTGTCTTCTCTGGGGGCATCTTTGTTTGCTGCCTCTGTAACATATAAAACAGAGGTCAATGTAACATCCCACATGGAGGTCAATGTAACATCCCACATGGAGGTCAATGTAACATCCCACATGGAGGTCATTGTAACATCCCACATGGAGGTCAATGTAACATCCGACATGGAGGTCAATGTAATATCCCTGATGGAGGTCATTGTAACATCCCACATGGAGGTCATTGTAACATCCCACATGGAGGTCAATGTAACATCCCACATGGAGGTCAATGTAACATCCCACATGGAGGTCATTGTAACATCCCACATGGAGATCAATGTAACATACCACATGGAGGTAAATGTAACATCCCACATGGTGGTCATATAACACCCCACATGGAGGTCAATGTAACATCCCACATGGAGATCAATGTAACATCCCACATGGAGGTCAATGTAACATCCCACATAGAGGTCAATGTAACATAGAACATGGAGGTCAATGTAACATCCCACATGGTGGTCATATAACACCCCACATGGAGGTCAATGTAAGATACCACATGGAGGTCAATGTAAAATACCACATGGCCATGGTCAATATAACATCCCACATGGAGGTCAATGTATCATACCACATGGAGGTCAATGAAACATACCACATGGTGGTCAATGTACCACAGGTCAATGTCAACACAAGGAGGTCCATCCCACATGGAGGTCATGTAACATAACATCACATGGAGGTCAATGTAACATCCCACATGGAGGTCAATGTAACATCCCACATGGAGGTCAACATCCCACATGGAGGTAACCCCCCATGGAGGTCAATGTAACATCCCACATGGAGGTCAATGGTCAATGTAACATCCCACATGGAGGTCAATATAACATCCCACATGGAGGTCAATGTAACATCCCACATAACCATGGGTCAATGTAACATCCCACATGGAGGTCAATGTAACATCCCACATGGAGGTCAATGTAACATCCCACATGGAGGTCAATGTAACATCCCACATGGAGGTAAATGTAACATCCCACATGGCCATGGTCAATGTAACATCCCACATGGAGGTCAATGTAACATCCCACATGGAGGTCAATGTAACATCCCACATGGAGGTCAATGTAACATACCACATGGAGGTCAATGTAACATACCACATGGAGGTCAATGTAACATACCACATGGTGGTCATATAACACCCCACATGGAGGTCAATGTAACATCCCACATGGAGGTCAATGTAACATACCACATGGAGGTCAATGTAACATCCCACATGGAGGTCAATGTAACATCCCACATGGAGGTCAATGTAACATCCGACATGGCCATGGTCAATGTAACATCCCACATGGAGGTCAATGTAACATCCCACATGGAGGTCAATGTAACATCCCACATGGAGGTCAATGTAACATACCACATGGAGGTCAATGTAACATACCACATGGAGGTCAATGTAACAACCACATGGAGGTCAATGTAACATCCCACATGGAGGTCAATGTAACATCCCACATGGAGGTCAATGTAAGATACCACATGGCCATGGTCAATATAACACCCCACATGGAGGTCAATGTAACATACCACATGCCATGGTCAATATAACATCCCACATGGAGGTCAATGTAACATACCACATGGAGGTCAATGTAACATCCCACATGGAGGTCAATGTAACACCCCACATGGAGGTCAATGTAACATCCCACATGGAGGTCAATGTAACATCCCACATGGAGGTCAATGTAAGATACCACATGGCCATGGTCAATATAACATCCCACATGGAGGCCAATGTAACTTCCCACATGGAGGTCAATGTAACATCCCACAGTCAACTTAACATCATACATGCACCCTTATCTTACCTCACACATAAATGTTGCTTTCTGACTGGCTGAGCGCTCTTCTATTATTTTCAATGCACCCCGCTTACCAGCGAGTAACATTTCAATGTACCCCGCTGTAAATGGCAATTCATTTGGTACTTCGTGGTAGTAATTCTTTATCTCGAATAACATTGAATCACGTATGATGTACGGAAATTACCGATGTTTTGCAAATGCAAATCGATGGAAGGGAGATAACTCTAAATCTGTTTTTCTTGTCAGCAAAATCTAGCGATGGCTACAAAAGATTTGTACCTGTGCTTCATACAATTCAAAATTAACATTAAGGTGTTCGGTAAGATAAATACGTTGTTCACTGGTCCCCCCTGGTGTTGACGATGGAACTTACTGCATGTTCATGTAGAAAACGATCTTACACAATGTCTTCCTGTACTGGTGCTGATTGTCAATAACAAAGCGTGTTCTCCTTTGTAGTCCTAAGTCAACCCCCAAACAGAAGATATGAGTAAAACCAGTATTGCTAACATTTCTTCATGAACTCTTGCAAGGCCATCAGAGTTGTCAAGGTGAAATTCATCTATGACTATGAGTCTGATCTTCTGAATATACTCTACACAAAGCTGGCTGGCACCAACAGTGTTGGGGCAGCCAAATCAGTGTATCGCTGATATGGCACTCCCTCAGTCACTGATTGGTCTCAAACAAGCAATTGTCCGAGCTGTTAATGTGGCGCTTTAGGATTGTTTCCATAAACGCACCAAGAGGATCGGGTTGTTTTGTTGACGTAACTTCACATGAGGAACATGCAAATGGTAAGGCATGGGTGTTGCCCTGCTGCAGAAAGTGTCCTCCATGGGACATTAGTTGTGTTGAACATTGTAATGCCTGGCAACTTCATCTTGTGCCATTTCTGTTAGCAGCATACTCGCAGTAATAATTTACAGAATATAATTTTATGTGATGCCTATATGAAACAAGTAATTTGTTACCTCTGCTGGAAGTTTGTAGTCCGAGAAGTGTAATGGTGAAGACTGCTCTCCCCAGGCATTCTTCTTCATGGGGGATGGGGGCACTGCTGTGGTGGACTGAAACACAATACTTGCAGTGAGAAGATAGATGCCACAGAGGCCAAAGACATAAAACATGGTTCTGAAACACAACACTTGCTGTGAGAAGACAGACGCCGCACAGGCCAAAGACATAAAACATGGTTCTGAAACACAACACTTGCTGTGAGAAGACAGACGTCACAGAGGCCAAAGACATAAAACATGGTTCTGAAACACAACACTTGCTGTGAGAAGACAGACGTCACAGAGGCCAAAGACATAAAACATGGTTCTGAAACACAACACTTGCTGTGAGAAGACAGACGCCACAGAGGCCAAAGACATAAAACATGGTTCTGAAACACAACACTTGCTGTAAGAAGACAGACGCCACAGAGGCCAAAGACATAAAACATGGTTCTGAAACACAACACTTGCTGTGAGAAGACAGACGCCACAGAGGCCAAAGACATAAAACATGGTTCTGAAACACAACACTTGCTGTAAGAAGACAGACGCCACAGAGGCCAAAGACATAAAACATGGTTCTGAAACACAACACTTGCTGTGAGAAGACAGACGCCACAGAAAATTAAGACATAAAGCATATTACTGAAACACATCACTTGCTGTGAGAAGATAGATGCCACAGAGGACGAAGGTATAAAAACATGGTTCTGAAACACAACACTTGCTGTAAGAAGACAGACGCCACAGAGGCCAAAGACATAAAACATGGTTCTGAAACACAACACTTGCTGTGAGAAAACAGACGCCAAAGACATAAAACATGGTTCTCAAACACAACCCTTGCTGTGAGAAGACAGACGCCACTGAGACCAAAGACATAAAACATGGTTCTGAAACACACCGCTTGCTGTGAGAAGACAGATGCCACAGAGGCCAAAGACATAAAGCATATTACTGAAACACACCACTTGCTGTAAGAAGACAGACGCCACAGAGGCCAAAGACATAAAACATGGTTCTGAAACACAACGCTTGCTGTGAGAAGATAGATGCCACAGAGGCCAAAGACATAAAGCATATTACTGAAACACAACACTTGCTGTAAGAAGACAGACGCCACAGAGGACGAAGACATAAAACATGGTTCTGAAACACAACACTTGCTGTGAGAAGATAGACGCCACAGAGAATGAAGACATAAAGCATATTACTGAAACACAACACTTGCTGTGAGAAGATAGATGCCACAGAGGCCAAAGACATAAAACATGGTTCTGAAACACAACACTTGCTGTAAGAAGACAGACGCCACAGAGAATGAAGACATAAAGCATATTACTGAAACACATCACTTGTTGTGAGAAGATAGAAGCCACAGAGGACGAAGGCATAAAACATGGTTCTGAAACACAACACTTGCTGTGAAAAGACAGACGTCACAGAGGCCAAAGACATAAAACATGGTTCTGAAACACAACACTTGCTGTGAGAAGACAGACGCCACAGAGGCCAAAGACATAAAACATGGTTCTGAAACACAACACTTGCTGTAAGAAGACAGACGCCACAGAGGCCAAAGACATAAAACATGGTTCTGAAACACAACACTTGCTGTGAGAAAACAGACGCCAAAGACATAAAACATGGTTCTCAAACACAACCCTTGCTGTGAGAAGACAGACGCCACAGAGACCAAAGACATAAAGCATATTACTGAAACACACCGCTTGCTGTGAGGAAGATAGAAGCCACAGAGGACGAAGGCATAAAACATGGTTCTGAAACACAACGCTTGCTGTGAGAAGATAGATGCCACAGAGGCCAAAGACATAAAGCATATTACTGAAACACAACACTTGCTGTGAGAAGATAGATGCCACAGAGGACGAAGGCATAAACATGGTTCCTGAAACACAACGCTTGCTGTGAGAAGATAGACGCCACAGAGAATTAAGACATAAAGCATATTACTGAAACACAACACTTGCTGTGAGAAGATAGAAGCCACAGAGGCCAAAGACATAAAACATGGTTCTGAAACACAACGCTTGCTGTAAGAAGACAGACGCCACAGAGAATGAAGACATAAAGCATATTACTGAAACACATCACTTGTTGTGAGAAGATAGAAGCCACAGAGGACGAAGGCATAAAACATGGTTCTGAAACACAACACTTGCTGTGAGAAGACAGACGCCACAGAGGCCAAAGACATAAAACATGGTTCTGAAACACAACACTTGCTGTAAGAAGACAGACGCCACAGAGGCCAAAGACATAAAACATGGTTCTGAAACACAACACTTGCTGTGAGAAGACAGACGCCACAGAGGCCAAAGACATAAAACATGGTTCTGAAACACAACACTTGCTGTGAGAAGACAGACGCCACAGAGGCCAAAGACATAAAACATGGTTCTGAAACACAACACTTGCTGTGAGAAGACAGACGCCACAGAGAATGAAGACATAAAGCATATTACTGAAACACATCACTTGCTGTGAGAAGATAGAAGCCACAGAGGACGAAGGTATAAAACATGGTTCTGAAACACAACGCTTGCTGTAAGAAGACAGACGCCTCAGAGGCCAAAGACATAAAACATGGTTCTGAAACACAACGCTTGCTGTGAGAAGACAGACGCCACAGAGAATTAAGACATAAAGCATATTACTGAAACACAACACTTGCTGTGAGAGAAGATACAAAGCCACAGAGGCCAAAGACATAAAACATGGTTCTGAAACACAACACTTGCTGTAAGAAGAGACAGACGCCACAGAGAATGAAGACATAAACATATTACTGAAACACATCACTTGTTGTGAGAAGATAGAAGCCACAGAGGACGAAGGCATAAAGCATGGTTCTGAAACACAACACTTGCTGTGAGAAGACAGACGTCACAGAGGCCAAAGACATAAAACATGGTTCCTGAAACACAACACTTGCTGTGAGAAGACAGACGCCACAGAGGCCAAAGACATAAAAACATGGTTCTGAAACACAACACTTGCAGTAAGAAGACAGACGCCCCAGAGGCCAAAGACATAAAACATGGTTCTGAAACACAACACTTGCTGTGAGAAAACAGACGCCAAAGACATAAAACATGGTTCCTGAAACACAACCCTTGCTGCGAGAAGACAGACGCCACAGAGACCAAAGACATAAAGCATATTACTGAAACACACCGCTTGCTGTGAGAAGATAGAAACCACAGAGGACAGAAGGCATAAAACATGGTTCTGAAACACAACGCTTGCTGTGAGAAGATAGATGCCACAGAGGCCAAAGACATAAAGCATATTACTGAAACCACAACACTTGCTGTGAGAAGATAGATGCCACAGAGGACGAAGGCATAAACATGGTTCTGAAACACAACGCTTGCTGTGAGAAGATAGACGCCACAGAGAATTAAGACATAAAGCATATTACTGAAACCACAACACTTGCTGTGAGAAGATAGAAGCCACAGAGGCCAAAGACATAAAACATGGTTCTGAAACACAACACTTGCTGTAAGAAGACAGACGCAACAGAGAATGAAGACATAAAGCATATTACTGAAACACATCACTTGTTGTGAAGATAGAAGCCACAGAGGGACGAAGGCATAAAACATGGTTCTGAAACACAACACTTGCTGTGAGAAGACAGACGCCACAGAGGCCAAAGACATAAAACATGGTTCTGAAACATAACACTTGCTGTAAGAAGACAGACGCCACAGAGGCCAAAGACATAAAACATGGTTCTGAAACACAACACTTGCTGTGAGAAGACAGACGCCACAGAGGCCAAAGACATAAAACATGGTTCTGAAACACAACACTTGCTGTAAGAAGACAGACGCCACAGAGGCCAAAGACATAAAACATGGTTCTGAAACACAACACTTGCTGTGAGAAGACAGACGCCACAGAAAATTAAGACATAAAGCATATTACTGAAACACATCACTTGCTGTGAGAAGATAGAAGCCACAGAGGACGAAGGTATAAAACATGGTTCTGAAACACAACGCTTGCTGTAAGAAGACAGACGCCTCAGAGGCCAAAGACGCAAAACATGGTTCTGAAACACAACGCTTGCTGTGAGAAGACAGACGCCACAGAGGCCAAAGACATAAAACATGGTTTTGAAACACAACGCTTGCTGTGAGAGAAGACAGACGCCACAGAGGCCAAAGACATAAAACATGGTTCTGAAACACAACACTTGCTGTGAGAAAACAGACGCTAAAGACATAAAACATGGTTCTGAAACACAACCCTTGCTGCGAGAAGACAGACGCCACAGAGACCAAAGACATAAAGCATATTACTGAAACACACCGCTTGCTGTGAGAAGATAGAAACCACAGAGGACGAAGGCATAAAACATGGTTCTGAAACACAACGCTTGCTGTGAGAAGATAGATGCCACAGAGGCCAAAGACATAAAGCATATTACTGAAACACAACACTTGCTGTGAGAAGATAGATGCCACAGAGGACGAAGGCATAAACATGGTTCTGAAACACAACGCTTGCTGTGAGAAGATAGACGCCACAGAGAATTAAGACATAAAGCATATTACTGAAACACAACACTTGCTGTGAGAAGATAGAAGCCACAGAGGCCAAAGACATAAAACATGGTTCTGAAACATAACACTTGCTGTAAGAAGACAGACGACGCCACAGAGGCCAAAGACATAAAACATGGTTCTGAAACACAACACTTGCTGTGAGAAGACAGACGCCACAGAGGCCAAAGACATAAAACATGGTTCTGAAACACAACACTTGCAGTAAGAAGACAGACGCCACAGAGGCCAAAGACATAAAACATGGTTCTGAAACACAACACTTGCTGTAAGAAGACAGACGCCACAGAAAATTAAGACATAAAGCATATTACTGAAACACATCACTTGCTGTGAGAAGATAGAAGCCACAGAGGACGAAGGTATAAAACATGGTTCTGAAACACAACGCTTGCTGTAAGAAGACAGACGCCTCAGAGGCCAAAGACATAAAACATGGTTCTGAAACACAACGCTTGCTGTGAGAAGACAGACGCCACAGAGGCCAAAGACATAAAAAACATGGTTTTGAAACACAACGCTTGCTGTGAGAAGACAGACGCCACAGAGGCCAAAGACATAAAACATGGTTCTGAAACACAACACTTGCTGTGAGAAAACAGACGCCACTGAGAAAGACATAAAACATGGTTCTGAAACACAACCCTTGCTGTGAGAAGACAGACGCCACAGAGACCAAAGACATAAAGCATATTACTGAAACACACCGCTTGCTGTGAGAAGATAGATGCCACAGAGGACGAAGGCATAAAACATGGTTCTGAAACACAACGCTTGCTGTGAGAGAAGATAGATGCCACAGAGGCCAAAGACATAAAGCATATTACTGAAACACAACACTTGCTGTGAGAAGATAGATGCCACAGAGGACGAAGGCATAAACATGGTTCTGAAACACAACGCTTGCTGTGAGAAGATAGACGCCACAGAGAATTAAGACATAAAGCATATTACTGAAACACAACACTTGCTGTGAGAAGATAGAAGCCACAGAGGACGAAGGCATAAAACATGGTTCTGAAACACAACACTTGCTGTGAGAAGACAGACGTCACAGAGGCCAAAGACATAAAACATGGTTCTGAAACACAACACTTGCTGTGAGAAGACAGACGCCACAGAGAATGAAGACATAAAGCATATTACTGAAACACATCACTTGCTGTGAGAAGATAGATGCCACAGAGGACGAAGGCATAAAACATGGTTCTGAAACACAACACTTGCTGTGAAAAGACAGACGTCACAGAGGCCAAAGACATAAAACATGGTTCTGAAACACAACACTTGCTGTGAGAAGACAGACGCCACAGAGAATGAAGACATAAAGCATATTACTGAAACACATCACTTGCTGTGAGAAGATAGAAGCCACAGAGGACGAAGGCATAAAACATGGTTCTGAAACACAACACTTGCTGTGAGAAGATAGATGCCACAGAGGACGAAGGCATAAAACATGGTTCTGAAACACAACACTTGCTGTGAGAAGATAGAAGCCACAGAGGACGAAGGCATAAAACATGGTTCTGAAACAACACAACACTTGCTGTGAGAAAAAGATGCCACAGAAGACAAAGGCATAAAGCCCCTGGGGGATTGACACACAAGCAATGCAAGACCTTCAAATGCCAACATAGACACATACCAATGGAGAAGGCATTTCAGTGAAGAAGGATTCATTCTCCTCAATGATGTCATCCTTCCTGCTTAGATTCTGATCCTGCTTCGGAGGTTGGCCACTTACAGCCTGAAAATTGCATCATGCAACACGGTCATGCAATAGCTCTTCACTCAATAAATGAGCAGGAAATTAACCATTACCATCTTGACTTACCCGTCACCATCACTGTCCCTCGTATCTGTTGGCTCAAAAATGATAAGATGGAATAATCAGGGACCAAACTTTTACTGTGAGACAACCTTAAGTTTGACTTGTCAAAATTCGGTGCAATGGTGTTAGACTGTAATATTTACAAGAGGTCAAAACCAGAAGTTTGACTTGAAACGTGGCTGGTTATATTTAAGAGCACAGTATTCAAATTGTCACTCAACCAATCAATTCAGCTACACAGTTGTAATTTCTTCTCCCTATGAACTTACCCAAACGTCTCTCAGAGATTTTGGTTATAATGAGAAATGACATTTATAACAGGATAAGATGGTGGCCTCAAGCATCACTGAGAAATATGCAGCAGAAGACAAGCACCCAGCATGGAAGGGAAACATCAATTACCTCAACTTAGGCCCACAAGACATTTTGAGAGAATGCAGTGTAAGAGGGATGATGTTATCAAAATACACAACAAAACACGAGTAAATATATAACCATGATATTTCTCCAGGGTAACTTTGATAAGACATCAAAATGTGAATACTTCCAGCTTCAGCAAGACAAAGATCAAAGAATTATACTGAAAATATACACAAGAGGTGTTATACGGAACATAAATCCATCACACTGGACAAGTCAGTTCAACCCATTTAAACCAACATGACACTGAGCCCCCATTGCAAGAGTCCTGTGAACTCGACAAAAATCCCAAGATGACGTCTTGTTAGTCCAAGATAGAGACACATGTACACCCAGTGGACAGAACTGAGGTTGATAGAGATGATATGACACTTATCACCCAAGTGTTGTTATGGTATAAAGTATCTCAATATCACTTTCAAGTGTACACTAGTATAGAAATGTAGCCTTACATGAACTACCAGCACCTCGGTCTCCTCTATAATAGACTTCTGAAGCTTAATGTCCTTTTTCATCCACCCTCCATTGATGACCTGAAATGTCGTCGTCAGGGTGTGAATAATGGCCAGGTATGATCACACAACAGTAGTAGTCCAGCCATATCACTTGGGACACCAGGAATAGGTTTCATGCACTGAACCTAATTTGGACATCTAACCCTGTTCATTGGAATGAAGAGCCAATACTTTTTACCTCTTGGCTTCTAAACCTTGTCAACTGGAGTTACTGCCATAAACTTTGTAAGAACACAAAATGGTTTAAGATGTCCAAAGGAAACATCATGCGATGAAAGCATAAACTTAAATTTGAAAAAGGTTTGGCAGATATAAACATCAGCCAGAATTGAAATTTTTATTCATTTCGTAAAACATCCTGAATCTACACTTTTTTGTTAGAGGAATATGGATTAGGTTGTTTGGTAAACCCAACAAATAACAATAAATCATTAGGGATATGGATGGAGTACAGCATATTGCAGACAGTCACAGCAGCTTGTAAGGGATGGACAGAGAGAGAAAGACACACACTGACATACCCTGGTCAGCGGAGCTTTTACTATGGCAGGACCACTGTCCTCTGTCAAGGCATTTTCACTCGTAGATGTGTGGTTCTGTTTCATCCAACCACTACTGACAACCTGTAAATGTCATACTGATATGCACTGCAGGAACAGAACAAACTAAAAGTCAGTGAGATTATATGTCTTTTACTCCTGTGACAAGATGGCACACAAGAAGAGTGGAAAAAACATAACACAAAAACGTCCTGAAAATGAATTGATATTATTTAGCATCACTTAACAACTAGTGTGTAAATAACACTGTTAAAAAGAGCTCGAGATTGCAGTCACCAGACAGTGAGACAACGACAAGCACCTTCCAGATGGGCTGTAAGACATACCCTGCCAGGAACGGATGGTAGTGACTGTTCCTCCAGAGCCTCCTCCAGAACCTCCTCAAGGACAGGCTCCTCAAGAGGCGGTCCAGTCATCCAACTACCGCTGAAAACCTGAAAATTATACTTGACCTTGACACAAGTGTGATGACTTTTGTGTAGGAGCATAATACCATAGGGGAACCAAGTAGTATTCACCTACCATGGTAGATTCTATAATGAAAGCATCATCTTCTTCATCAACATTCTCCTGTTCCTCAATAATGTGTTCCCGACTCACAGGTTGGGGGCTGTGTTTCACCCAACCCCCACTGATGGTCTGAAAGTTTCAGGACACTCAAAAACAGATGTTAAATCTGACAGATCAACAGTATGACTTGACAGATACAGAAAGAGGATCCCAATGGACAACAGAAATATGTCTCCATATGATGGACCAGAAATATTCAACCACCTGTCAGGAAAGAGTGGAATAACTCAACAATCAGCAAAAGAACAAAGACTGGTTACACCATGACCCCAGTCAGTCAGATCAGGAGTGCCAAGATGTTGATCAAGATAATGATAGTGTATGAATGCACCCGAAGTGGTTAGGCTAAAACATTGCCACAGAGAAGTAAGGAAGAGGCAGAAAAACGAAAGTCTCTTTAACCCAAAAGAACATAGGAATCATTCAACAGGCATCAAACAAAAGCCAAATAAAGGGCATTGCAGAGGCATACCCTGATAGCTGGCGATTTCGGTGTTTGATGGTCATTCTCCTTCTTTATTGGATCCTGGCAAAGAGATTTCTGATCCCTTTTGACTGAGTCAATTTTCAGAACTTGAACCTGAAATGTGATGAGGTGCAATGTCAGTGCAAACAACACAAGCTTAGCCGTGGTTCAGGCTTAAATGGTTGGGTGCCTAGTATCCCAGTACCTGTGAGAGTAAGAGGTTCAGTATTGGGGTCCTGCATTTGATGTTGAATAGAGACGATGATACCCAAAGAGAGTATCTCTGCATCTTACAAGGACTGTTGTAAGCCTTTGGTAAAGAGTTGGAGCTTAGACTCACATGGATGCTCCAGAGAACAGCCATTGCTATGTTAAAAAGCAAAAGCATAATGATAGGGCAAATCTGCACAGAGAGTTGTTGTGCAGGGTTAACTGTTCCCCTTGTGACAAAGATATTTATCTCACACTGCATGACTCAAAGGGATACAGAAGCAAGAGAGCATCTTTGGACTTTATAGAAGCTGATAATCTGTCCTATAAAGATATACAGGCAAGATGATAGAACCACACAGAGCTGTAGAAGGAGACATTCCACCACTGGAAAGAGAGGTCATCCCCTTCAAAAATTCCCATGGTACATGTAGAAGGGTTATCGGTCAAAACCACATCACGGCCAGATGTTACATACAAATAATACCTTTGCATGAGTTGTCCTTACCGGTGAAGCATCTGATCCCTGTTTAACAGGAATCTGATTCACAATTTTGCCTTGATCTTTGAACCATCCATCTTTGATGATCTGAAAGGCCAACCATTTTTGGAGTGCTACCACCGAAGATGTTCCGAATTCGCTAATATTCATCTATCTCTGAGTATAACCAAAGATGAGACATAGAGCCAGGAAGATTTGACCTAAGTATCATGCTGTTCCAAAACAAACACCACCAGCTCAGCATGCCCACACAGGCATATATTGTACGTTTGAATAACATCACGACTTGACCATCTCCAAAAGACCTTACGAAGGTCATCTCCAACAAAAATTCAATTAACCGTTAGAAGACAAGCAAAACCTTTTTATGATATGTATGTACATACAAAAAAAGAAAACCAGAATCACAAATGTATAAAAGCGTATTAAACATAAATTACACAAAGGCAACCAGCATCCAAATAAATGTTCCAGTGCCACTATAAGCTGGAACAATCTCAAACACATGGACATACCTTGGCTGGAGGGGTTCTAACTGATTTCTCATCATGTTCCGCATCTGGACTCAGAGGATTACAGTTTACTCTCTTAAATGGTCCTTTGACAATCTGAAAAGTTCAAGTTCCATGTGGCAGCATGATGTATCTTACGAGCACAACACCGTGAATTCATTACAGACATGGACCCTTATTCACCAAAAGGCAGGGTGAAGAAAAGATGATACATTGTATCAAAGCGTCCTTGGCCAGGAAGAAGTGAGATGAAGAGACTTAGGAAGATGTACCCACTTCAAACATTGGACAAAGAGTCCTAGGCCAGGAAGAAGTGAGATGAAGAGACTTAGGAAGATGTACCCACTTCAAACAGTGGACAAAGAGTCCTTGGCCAAGGAAGAAGTGAGATGAAGAGAATGAGGAAGATGTACCCACTGTCTATTCAGAAAAGTGCATATGGGAACACACCAGAGCAGGAAAGTCTCAACATGACACAAACATACCAAGGGTGGCAGGGTCCCTTTAACACTGACAACACTCTTCTTCACTGGTGATGGCTCAGGAATTTGTTTGTCCTCTTTCATCCAGGCACCTTTGATAACCTGCAAAGTGTATATAGTGTGTAGTCTGGATGATCCAAGCGTCCTTCACCCTGGCAGCACATGTGGCACCACATTAAACAATCAGAGAGGTATGAATACAAACCATCCCAAAGTCAAGGACCACTTGATCATCAAACAGTGTGAGAACCCAAGCCACGGACAACCAGACCAACAGCTACTACCATTAGTAACGACTACCACATGAACAGCAGATGGCAACCCCAAACCGAGGACCACCACATCATTGAACATATCAGGGACAAGGAGAGAAATCATGTTACCCACAAGAATTCAAAGCCAAGAAGTAGACAAATCCAAACAGACAGGACCCATTAGTATTAGTCACAGATGATCTGACCATTAGCCTTGGAAAAGGAGATGATGCACTGGCATTACCACACATCAATCAAGTAGATCATCAGCAAAAACAAGAAGATATGGCTGAGCTGAAAGACAAAAACAAAGGAAAACCCAGGCAAAGTAAATGGTGACAGACAACCCCACAGGCAACATAAACAAAGCCAATGACTACCAGATTATATTCCAGGGGAAACAACACTACACTAAGGGGAGATCCCTGAAGATCAGCCGGCTTCAAATATCCTCACATACCTTGGCAGGAGGTATTCTCATTGCCAGAGTACTTATTGTCCTCTAAGCTGTGTATTTGACTCACAGGTTTGTGGATGTCTGAGGGTGGGAACAGGAAGCTGTCCAGGGTGTTCCCTAGCTTGATGTCCGAGGGGTCAACTGGGACATTGACCTTGTTGGACGGCTTCTGTGGGTTGTTGTTGTCCATCAAGTTGTCTGGGTTGGCGTACAGCTTGTTGGCAATCTGCTGCACTTGGCGGTCAGCTTCGATGAAAGGAGACCGACCTGGAAGAAGCACAAACGTGACACTCATCTGATGAACCGATTGAAGACAATATGCAACGTTACGAGACTGTCCATTGCACATAAGCATTAGACGACAATAACATAGATTAGATATGATTCTTTCAGTTTTGATCCTTTTTCAGTGATGTATTATCAAATACTCATACTCTGTTTGTAATGATATCAAGTTACACTATGGTGACTGCATAAGTGAAATTAATGATAAAAAGTGATCTGACCATTATTATCAGTGCAGTATCCATTCTGTATTACATTTATGCCAGGATAGTGGGTGACGGCATGAACATACTGTCCTGGGGAGCAATTCTGTCTTGGTATCCCCACATGGTTATGTTAATGGTAGAGACTCATGTGACATTGTGTCCTGCTAGTGGGAGTTACTGTACCTTTCTTGTCCAGGTCATTGATGGGCCTGTCCTCATCACTGCTGGTACTGACGAGTTTCTGAAACAACACAGAGACAGATGGACATACAGATGTTATACCACAGACATGATATACATGACCCCACCGCCATGTACCAGATGTCTACAGAATCAGTGAAGACATCATATCCTGTGTTTGATAGACTAACGCTTAGCCTCTGAATATGTATGATTTGAATCGAAACAAATAATTCCGTTTAAATTGAAAAGCAGTCCCAGTGAGTTGAACCTGAACCTGTGGAAATTTAGACTTGCTTCATTTAGGGCTTTAGCATTGCGAGAAGAGCTGGGTGGAAGGGAAAATAATGCGGCTCAGGGACTTTGAGACAGACCATGTGATGCTGTTTATTCTACAAGTTCATGATTTTAAAGCCAAGACATGCAGATAACTGCTTTCGTCAGGGAAATAATGGTGGTATGCTTTAAACTGTTAGAAATATATATATTCTCAATAACTACTCACATCAATAGTCAACAATTATCAGCAAATTGTATCAGCTAGATGATTAACTTACCGATGCCGGCATTTGAGATGAGGACTCAGTTCCGGTTGTCTTGAAACTCTTGGCACGATATCGACGCTTCCTATTCTTCATACCATCTTGTACCTGGTTGAATATATATTATCCAAATTCAGTTAAACTACATCCATCATCATTGTCACAGTGCATTTAACATAAATGGAAAAATAGTTCGTTATAAGGTAACCTGAGTGAGTGAGTATGGATTTACGCCGCTTTTAGCAATATTCCAGCAATATCACGGCGGGGACACCTGAAAGGGCTTCACACATTGTACCCATGTGGGGAATCGAACCCGGGTCTTCGGCATGATGAGCGAACGCTTTAACCACTAATCTATCCCACCACCCATAAAGTAAGTTGAAGTTCTATAAGTGCATGTAACCTTAGTAAGCTCCAAATAGGAAACACTCATTTATTTCCATTCTACCACTAACTGCTAAATAAAACACAAACTCTTAGGTGTAAGTAAATGTAATCAGTGAGGGGCACGGATTATGTCCTAGATTTAGAGTGGATTGTTGACAAATCACTGAAAATGTCTTCTCATAAACTACGATGCATATATCCTCAGGTAGTTTGTGTGCTCTGGTGTTTGGAATTGGTTGAAATCACACAATTAATGACTGGTTCAATACCAATGAGTAATCATCGAAAACAATTGGTTAGTGTCATTTTTTAGATTTTCCTCTTCAGGTTGTTATTGCAGATAAGCATAAAGAAAAAAACATTTGGTTCTCTGTTGTTTTTTGTTTTATTTAGAAACTGCGCAAATTGCATTTGCAAATTTCACATCCAGTGTAAAATGATGCAACTTGCTACTTGAAAATGATGACTAATATATATCATGAAAATAAACTTTCCAGAGTTTTCAAGAAATATTCAGTCCATACTTTTCAGTAAGTGAAGTGAGTATTCTAAGACTTAAACATGTTTTCAAGCCCAGACACATCCTAGATATGTTCCATCGTCAAGTATATCAAACTCTATTACAGTGGTTCCAAAATCGTTTGAGTTCGATTATGAGCAAATGTAATCGATTGCTTGGTCATTTGGCCATTGCGACCAATCTTCGATTATTTCAATTAATCGGAACACCATTAGTGTTCACAATATTTACTTCACCCCCAGCTAATGGCAGACACTGAAAACCCGCAGCAACATGGAAAACTAACTTAAGTGAGCGACAAGACAAGACAAGACAAGACAAGACACGACAAGACACGACAAGACAAGACAAGACACGACACGACACGACACGACACGACACGACACGACACGACACGACAAGACAAGACAAGACAAGACAAGACTGGAAAAACTTCCATAGTCGTGCTACGTCACATGTCACTGTTGTGACAGCAAATTCCTCATTGAGACACAAAACATATTATATCACAGCTGTATACAGAAAAGGGACAAATTCAGGTTCTCTTTTTTCCCCCAAATTGGAATATGTTCTGTTTAAATATTTCTATTCTGTATTTGCACAAAATGTATTGCACATACATTATTATTATACTGAATATTATAGCTATCCCAAGTATTTTTTATTTTGTAATCTATGTCTGTACATATGATTATTTAAATAGGCCAACATGCAAAGACAGAAAAAGAAGTATTATACTACAAATATTCAAATCAGCTGTTTCAAGCAGACAGGCTTTATTGGGATTTCATAATGCTCCATTGACCAATCACAACTGAGTAATTTCTTAGTTCGTTGTGCAATTATTATCACATATTCAGTAAATACATATCAAGAGGACAACTGACCTGTCGTGATACCAGACAGTGGAATATGAAAATGAAGAAGCCCTGAAATTAAATCAAACATCAATTTTAATGAAATGTAAAATGTAAAAACATGTGTGTTAGCTATATCTAAATAAAGAAATCGTTTAATAAGCTTGTATCCGTAGGCGGCTCCACACAGGGGGTGCAGGCGTGCGCACCCCCAACCCCCTTGTCCTGAAAGTTTATTAAATGACCATTGAAACTCAGGTGAAAATGAAATGTGCACCCCCACTTTTGTCTATAGTGACTGTGCACCCCCCCCACCCCCAACCCCTTCTCAAAAAGCTGTATCCGCCCCTGATATCTAAATGTAAAACATCATGATCAATAACAACATCATCGACATGAATGGAGACTCGGAATGGAATCATTCAAAAACTAGATTTAGCGAGTCAATGTTATTCACAGTAGCAGTATTGAGTTACATCACAATGACATATACAAATGCAGTAACAGTCAAATAATCATATCATGATGAGTGAGTGAGTGAGTTTAGTCTTAAGCTGTTTCTAGCAATATTCCAGCAATATCACAGCAGAGGACACCAGAAATGGCTTTTACACATCGCAACAAACATGTCAGGAATCAAACTGGGTCTTCAGCACGATGAGCAAAAGCTTTAACCACTACACTACCCCACTGCCTCCATATGATGATGAGCAATGATTCATGTCATTGATGTACAGTTACACAGAATTAAGTCATGCAGGGCGACCACCCAATCGTCATCAGTATTATGACAAACATGGGATATGTCAGACCTACTCTTCCCCACAATTAATATAGACGGCCATCATCCCGAGGGACCCGTGAAGGTCCGGGTTAGAATGAACCTTCTGTAATCCATGCTTGTCATACGAGGCGACTAACGGGATTGGGTGGTCAGGCTCAATGGCTTGGTTGACACGTGTCATCGGTTCCCAATTGCTCAGATCAATGCTCATACTGTTGATCACTGGATTGTCTGGTCCAGACTCGATTATTTACAGACTGCCGCCATATAGCTGGAATATTGCTGAGTGCGGCGTAAAACTAAACTCACTCACACACTCATCCTGAGGGTCTTCACTTTGGTCAGTGGCCATCAATAGTCAACAAGCCTCACCTGTAAGGAGTTAAACACAGCAAACAGATACTGGAAGACCGTGAGGTCCTCATTCACGGAGAACACCCCAAACACCCAGGTGACTCCCATCAACGGCAGCAGGACACACAGAGCCTTCAGGCCAGCTCTGAAACAGGGACACCGTGCTTTGTAACTAATGACGATGGTGGTCCTCAGTACCTAGAGTCTTCAACACGTACCCTGATCAGATTACAGTCTCTGCCCACATCAAACAAACAGTCCAGGTGTAGGCAGGTGAATCCTTCATTTTTAGGTATGTCATTGATTTTAAGACTTTAATAGATAATCAGTCATACTTAAAATGTTATGTAATACAACACTCTACCTAACCCAGTCACTCATATTCAAAACAAAGATTAACACAGTGAAACAAAATGTGCATCCATCCTTTTCCCCAACGTTATATAAACTCACGGGCGAAAGAAACGTCACCTCGCTTTTTTTAACATGTCACAAAACAACACACTCAGATTTTGAAATTTAACAATCATATGTGGAAAATTAATAGATTTACAACATTCTGAATGATGAACGTGTGAACTACAGATATGAATAATCACTTAGTGTAAACGATTAAAAAATGGTGACGTTTTTTTCGCCCGTGAGTTTATCTGTGCCTGTGCCACTGTCAGCCAGGTCATAATGTGGAAGAAATATACTTTAACAATTTTATCATATATTTACAATTTTCAACCATTCCATAAATTATCAGATTAAGTTTGATTTAATCATATAACAAGGCATCATGTTGATCTATGTCATGGGTTTGGGCCATTCAGCTGTGGTCTTACCTCCCCTTTTCTATGGCTGATTTGGTCATCATGGCTGTTGTACTGAACATTGTCTTCAGGACGATGAACACAATGATCAGGTTGGCCTGAAAAAATCATTTCCTAAATAATAACATTCTAATAAAATCTGCAACATCTGATAAAATTTCAAAAGTTTATTTCTCAAGTCAAAGTTAAGTTTAATTCTGTCTTATCATGATAAATCAAATAAACAAAATGTGGCCTGAATAGGGAAACATCCAATAATCTTATTTCACACATAAATGATCTATAATTCAATAGATGACAAGAAATAAGAGCCCTGAATACAGTTATGTTACAATTACTGTACATGTGACAACTCACCAGGATGACAGCAAGCGCTGGCGCTACGAAAGCCCACAATAAACCACTCTCCAGAGACAGCCAACAGCTACAAGAAGAATTAGGATTATCGCAAAACATCTCATAATTCATATGAAACATTTGAATGTATTAATCACCAGTCCTCAGATACTTCAGTTATATCACACATCAGCTCAAAGTGGAGGAAAGACCAACTGACGCAGGTCTCAGATGTGTAAAGATGGTGAAATCTGTGAGCCAGGGGAAGGTAATCCCAGACCAAGGATCCTCAATGGAGCATATATGGGATTAAAACCTATGATCAGCAGATACTTGCAGATCCAAGGGAGACAACTGTATGTAGCAAGTGCAAGCAGCTTCTTCCAGATACAAAAGAAGTTCAAACTGAGTTAGTTCATGACTAATACATATGCCCAGTGTTTCATCAACAGGAATAAGTGGATGACAGTATACTTACAACTGCTCACTGCCGTACCCCTTCAACTGGGTGACTCCTAGGGAGATACCGACCACAACAACCGGGGCACCTGCACAACCAACATGACATTAACATGTATGCCTCTCTTCTGTCATAAAATCTCACAATACAATAGATTATGTTTTCTCATTGTTTCTATTTCTACATTTTTCACTTCCAGTTCAAGTTTTCAAAAATATATAGAGCTTTAAAAATGTAGATACATAATATACTACTCTCAAAAATTTAAAAAGAGCCAGAAGTTTTTAACAGGTCTATATTTAATCTGCCAATGCTCATATAAAAAAATGTGTGTTCAAGTACTGGTCAATCTGTCACTTTCTCTTTGCATAAATTCTTTTTCAGGAATTACGTAGCCGTGTGTCTTTGTAAAAGTAAAATGTAACAGAAAAGAATAAAACAAAAATAGGTTGTTTGTATGTACTTTGGAGTAGCAAAACTACTGACCCCAACTCAACAGCAGCAGCCAACGCAGCCTGGACTTGGTGTTGAAGACGTAGATGACGCTGACGAGGACCTCCACCCCCTCCGCCAACATCAGGAAGAACACGACCAGGAAGAAGAAGTGGAGCAGCGCGGAGATGGCAGTGCACACAGCCTGCAGCAGAAACAAACATCATCTTGTTATAGCTGTGTGAGTGGAAGGGAGGGCATGTTATCTTCTTTATAAACACATTGTGTCTTCACTGATCTCAGTGTTCCATGCATGAACTTGTAATCGTTGTTTTGTCTTTCACACCCAGTAGATTCTGTTCAAGTGTGTAATCAAGAGTACTGGTGTTGATGTTTTACGTTTAAAGGGTTTTGTGGTGGTGTGTGGTCCTGTGTGTAAAGCCCAGGTCACAAATCAGTTGAAGTTAAGCAACGTTGGGCGCAGAGAGTCCTTGGATGGGTGACCGTGTTTGACAGCTTGGCTCCTGAGAGTAACTTTCTAGGACTTCTGTCCTGCCCCACAATGATGCACATGTGATACATGTGGTCCCATCTTAGGCAAGTGAGTTTGTTCAAGATTGTCTGTGTTCACCCAGCAGAAAATGGGTACCCGGTGAGATAAGTCATGTGACTATTAACCTTCTAGCACCTCACAGGCAGTAATGTTACCTGGTTCTCCGTCTGTGTGACCCCGCCCAGGAAGATGCTGTAGGCGATGATGAGAGCGAAACACAGATTGATGAGAATGATGGCACGGTCGGACTTCACGTACCTGGATACAAAGAAGACAAAATTCATATCTTGTAACGAGGATAAGATACCATCATTATGTAATTTTTAGAAGACAAACATGGGCCGTTTCCGCAAAGCAATCTGGGGATCAAGACAGCGGCCTCCTGCCCTTTTTGGAGCATCCGATTCATTTGGACATTCAACATGTGATCAGAAAGTTTTGTGCAAACATATGATATATGATATATAACACTGCCCATTTCAAACACTTGTGTGTCAGAAAATGCACAATTCCTTCACTAAACTCTTGTAAGCTTACATGAGTAACACCACAGTTGTAAGCATTGTTAAAGTGTAAAGTGTAAACCTATAGGTTTGGGAATATTAAGTGAAAATGTGTGCGGAATTTGCTTTTGAAGTGCATGAAAAAGCAACTGAGTTGAATTAAAATTAATTACTTGGAACAAATTGTAAAGTGAATGAACAAGATTAATGAAATGTTAAATACATATACTGTCGGTTGTAATATGTTTGCAAAGTAATGTCATTATGCAGAATCTACAAGACAGCAAGGGTGAGGAGTGAACACCACATCATCATGTACATAGACTGTATCTACAACCTGGGAACTTTGTAAAGTCACCATTAGGCCAGACCAATTTTATTTCTTGTTTTACAGATTTTTGTCCTCAGAAAACCTAAAGGCAGGAGGGAATTTTATTTTTTAAACAAAAATCACCAGTCAAAGTAATATTCCTTTTAAATACTAAAAGTATTTTACTTTTGGCAATTTATGAAGTGTATATGGGGCAAATACAATCATATGGGGCAAAAATGTTCATGTAAGTTTACATTTTTGGCCAATAAAAACATTAGAATTTTATTTTTTGAGCAGGGAAAATTAATTATTATTTTTTTCTTATTCTTGAAAAAGATCCGTAAAACAAGAAATGAAATTGGCCTGACCTTACTTAGTGTTCTTAACATGGATGTTTATACATGCTGGTTGTGAAACATGTGGATGATGTAGAGTGGTCTCACCTCCACAGGAAACAGTAGATGCAGATGGTGAGGACGAGGAAGAAGATGGAGATGCCACAGCCAACAGCCGAAATGATACTCAGGACCTTAGCATCTTGTTCCGACTGAAGGTACATATACATATACAGTAAACTATAGTTATTATACAAGGACCACTAAATATAGTTTGTCATAACCATTTCTCTCTCTGCAAATATATAGAAATTGGGTCCGACCCATGAAACAGTTTGCTATAGCCATTGTTCTAAGTGATTTTGTTAAAAATGTAGCTTAACCTATACCAGATTTGAAATTCAAGGTTAACAGGAACAGATTTTTCTTGGATGGACACATTTCTAATCTTGTTCATATTTTTTAGATTCCACACATTTCTTATATAGATAGAAAAATAACCTGATAACAAATAAAGGCAATATGTGTTTATAAAAATTATATAAATAAGTTATCAAAACCTAATAAATCAATACTGTTTTCCTGAAATTTGTGTTAACCTTGTGTCATAATGACCAGAAAGCAGTACCAGTACTTACAATACGCCCCGGGCTCATGAGTATAGCGAAGTTGGTGAGGTGGTCGCAGTCACAGACGGTCATATTCTCTGTATTGTTGACCACTCTACAGCCCTCAGATGACCACTGGCCATCCTGTTCATAGCTAAAGGAATGAGAGAATCAATGTGAACACCACTAACATAAACTCTAGGCGATCAACACCAGGATGTAGCTTCACAGGTTGTGCACATTTAGGGAATAGAACCAAGGTCTCTGTGATGAGCCCAGCTATCCCAAGAATATCAAACTGTGTCAGCTTGAGGAGGCTATGGGGAGGAAATACTGAAGTGATACAGGGTTCACCATTTACAACTTCTGTGAAACCAAGATCTATAGGTGATGATGGGTTTTGAAGCCCAGTCTAAGTAAACTTAAGCTCAGTATTATTCGTTACACTGCTATACTGAGTCTAACAAAACCTAGTAGAAGGTTGCGTAAGCTAACCTTTTGGACTGACCAATCAGAACACAGCTTACCAAATCTCGAAAATAACATTCGCACATACCGATTCACCTTTACCTACAAAAATCGAATGATTCCGAATGCTATTTTCCGCACGATTGCTTCCGAGGGATACATGCAATGAGTAAACAGTCGCTGAAAATAGTTTTTGTCAATATTCAAGAATGTCATCTTGCGAAAATATAAGCAAATAGTAACCATGTCATTAGAAACCCATAAACGTATATACTGCAGGTCATATATCTGTGTTTTATGCGGATTTTCGTTTGTTGATAGATCAGTGTCAGCGACCAGGGAAGAGAAAATCCAAAAACCTTTTTGTAAGTCCCGCCGAACCCTAACAAGTATCGTCGTTGTCTGATTGGTTAAATCTGTTCGGCCGCCTCGCGTTTGATTGAACGGTCATAGGTCGCTCAAAGGTTAGCTGATGCAACCTTCTTCTAATTTTGTTAGACTCAGTATAGTAGTGTAACGAATAATACTGAGCCTGAGTTTACTTAGACTGTTTTGAACCCCAAACCAAAAAAGGAGTTGTGATGGCTGTGACCAGACAATTCTTTCCTTGAAACGGATAATTTATGTGTTAGGCCATTATGGCCGCTTTGTTTGTCCAGGGAGGGAAATCCGTGGTTGATAGCATGGGGAATTAATCAATTGTGTTGGATCCACAATCAGCGAACAGGTATTGATTGTCACCACATTGCTGAGTTTGCACTTCTCATGAGAAGAGTATATGAACCAGAAAAACTGAAAAACTGTAAATGCTTGAGGCAATGGATTAACAATTAGCTGCAGAAGGGTAAGTCTGTAAGTCTGTTATTTAGCATAAGTTGACTCACGGAGCGGAGTAGTTGAGGAAGCCACACACTGGTTCTGAGAAGTTGCCCTGAAAATATGGAAAAATAAGTTCAATAAATGTTCTAGATTCATTTCACAGCCTGTAATGATCAAATGACCATGATTAGATACACCTGACAATTCTAAACATGTAGTGTCAGCTGAGTCTATTTGTATTTTCTTATTAACAGAAGAACAACTTACATTGAGATGTTCAAATGACAGGGTTACAGAGGGGTTCATTTTGGTGGTCACGGTTGGAATCAGGGAGAATGACAGTATCCTGGAATTGATTTTCTTCTCAAATGACACACTGTCTGGATCTTGACTTGTGCTTCTGGAACAAGACAAATATTACATTTCACTGTAGACGTACAAAACTGTTTTGAAAAGTTATTCAGTCTAAGTAAACTTAGGCTCAGTATTATTCGTTACACTGCTATACTGAGTCTAACAAAACCTTGTGGAAGGTCGCGTCAGCTGACCTTTTCAATGGACCAATCAGAACACAGCTTACCAAATCGCGAAAGTTGACATTCGCAAATACCTTTTGAACTTTTACCTCGAAAAGGTTTTGTACCCGAACGATTCCGAATGCTATTTTCCGCACGATCACTTCTGAGTAATGCACATGGAACACGCCACGAGAGTGAGTAAACAGTTGCTGAGAATAGCGTTTTGTCAGTATTCAAGGATGTCAGCTTGGGGAAATATTGGCTAATGATAGCCATGTCAACAGACACCCAAAAGCGTATATTCTGCAGGTCATATATATCTGTGTTTTATGCGAGTTTTCATTTGTTATGAGATCAGTGATGGCGACCGGGGCAGAGAAAATCCATTTTGTAAGTCCCGCCAAACCCTAAATCAGTTCAGCCGTGTCGCGTTTGATTGGACGGTCTTAGGTCGCTCAAAGGTTACCTGACGCGACCTTCCACAAGGTCTTGTTATACTCCGTATAGCAGTGTAACGAAAAATACTGAGTCTAAGATTACTAAGACTGAAAAGTTATTTAAACTTTGACAATTATGAAATTTGTTAGTTCAAGCATGTTATAAGACTAACTGTACTGAGCTTAACACTGCTTAAAATCTGCAGTGATAATATGCAATGGCAGTACATCAATGATTCAGATGACACAGACCAGTTGTGTCACCCATAAGCACAGCAATGGGCACCAACAAGCCAAAAATATCATCAGTAAATCATCAGGGTTAAACCCAAGAGGATAATAGCAAATGGGACATAACTCTACAGAAAGGGTTGCAGACCACAAGACAATTCTTCTTAATTGTTGAATGGAAAATATCTATATATCTGTCCAGTCCCAAGTTCTGACTTATCAGTGATACATCAATGTATTGGCAGATCATCAGGAGGTGTTGGTCAGGAGCACAAACTATGTGTACATGAATCTGTACAACATTCTTACCCATCTGCCGATGTCCTCCTGTTAACTAGTTCTTCAATGTCCTTATATAGCACTCCACTGTACCCCATCAGGTTGTTGGCTGAAAGTGAGGAAACACACAAGATACAACCTAACATACAAGAAGCCATGTCCCAGGGGAATACAAACAACAGGAAATAGTTTCTGAATCACTGTCATGAGCAGCCATGTCCCAGGAGAATACAAACAACAGGAAATACCTTCTGAATCACTGTCATGAGCAGCCATGTCCCAGGGGAATACAAACAACAAGAAATAGTTTCTGAATCACTGTCATGAGCAAGCATTGTCTTTTGGAGGGGTTGAGCAGGAAGACAAAATTAGTCCAAAAATGAAAATTTAACACGTAATCTAGCACTTTATGTAAAGCATGCTGTTATCCTTAGAAGCAATCTCTTATCCGAACTGTAATTTGTTTTGTGAATTATCTGTACCATGTGCTGTATATCATGTATTGCTTGTATATGGGCTGGAGGCCTTAAGTACAATCAATATCTTTGACTTTGACAAAATTATGACTAAGTTTGTCAAAGTCAACTTTCAGTTCTGCTTTCAAACTGAATGCTTTCTTATTAGGAGTTCAATACCAAAAGTGTGTCAATAACTTTTTAAGCAAGTGTCAGTGAGTGAATCGTGTGGGATTAGGGTCATCTCGTGTGGTAGGCGTCAGACAAACCTGGAGTTGACAAGATGAACAACATTCGACATCAGGTATGCTGACAGAATCGGCCTTACTGGAATTTAAAGACTGGGGTCATGGAAGGTTTTTCAGGCATTATTTTTCCCAGTCTCCAGTAACAAAGTCATCTTAATGATAACCCACCGGTACTTGTACAGTTGTTGTGCTGGTTAAGAACTGTATGGATTGTCTGGGACTGTTGCCTAAATTTGTACTTGTTTCCAAAGAATTCAGGTCACTTTAAGAGCTTTTGTAAATTGTTGTTATTGTTCAGGGTTAGCAAAAATGCAAAGTAAATGTCCAAATAAGAACAATGAAATCTGTTTACTTAAAAGTTGATTCAGTCATAAGTGATCGCAACATGATTTCTGCTCCTTATGTAAGCACCTTGAGTGAACCTGTGGGTTAAACAAATTACCTGTCATTTATTAATGAGTGAGTGAATACTTTTTTTATGCAGCAGTTCCCAATATTCCAGATTTAAGACAGTGGACCTATATCTGGACCATTTTTTGGAATCTTTAAGATTTGCTTTCCACATTATCAGGATATGGTAACCTGAAATAAAACTGTCAAGACACCTGACGACTGGATCCAGTAATTGCCTCACATGACATGCATTACTAAGATTACTGGAGACATATTCTAACATGGAATTCGATATCGAAAACAGAATTCACTCCTGTTCTTGATATGTTTTAAATGATTCATTCTTGCAACAAAAATAACTTGCATGTTATGATGATTATTTTCTCTCAGATGGTAGATGTTTTTAAAAGGTTGTAATTACAAAACTTCAACACAAGGCAGTCATGGTTAACACAACATATTTCTTCAAGTAATCTGAATTTGTAATTTATTTTAGATTAAGCATGACAATGTGTGTATATTACCCAGAATAAGTTCAAAGATATTGATCTTTCATATTATTTTAGAGTTATTCTGTCATGGCACTATGCATAACTATAATTATCAGAATCAGGTTTCTTTGCCTCCATTTGAACACTATACATATATACTTACAAACCATTTTGGATTTGATATATACATTTATATATATACAGTGGAATCTGTCAAAACCGGCACTCGTCGGGACTAAAGAAATAATCCGGTTTAGACAGCGTGCTGGATTGTACAGATGACACGGTTACCTCCGACTAGAAGTGAACAAGTTTTGTCACTCTCATACATTGTTCTATCACAATCAAACATGTCAACTCACCAGTTACATGTACAAGTATACCCACGCTTGCCGGCAACCATGTAGTTTCAAGGTTTAATTGGTGACAATACACATCCAGCCGAATCCTCACCACACGCCGAATTAGACAGCGCTGATTACAGTACCCATATCCGGGTGGCTCATTTCACGCCGGGGTCCGGAATTGACAGCTGCCAGATTGCAGAGCTTTTAAATGATGATAATTGCACTAGCCACGGACGGGACTGAGATTTTATGCTGGTGTTGACAACTTGCCGGATTGAACAACTGCCAGTTTTGACAGCTTTCACTGTATATCTTATCCAAAATGTTATGACAAAGAAACCAAAGCCTAGACAATCATGTACAAAAAAAACTGTTCAAGGTATAAACATTGTCACCGCATTAATATTTTTCTGTGATAAAGGCATGCTGTGATGATAATAGTGTTTGTTAGGCCAAAGCTTTTGTTTCTTGCTTAAGTAAACCTGTTTCTATCACACATGATCCAACGGCTTCCATAGCCATCAAAATATAGGCTAAATGATAGACATGAGGGCTCAAATCAGAGAAGCATGGAGATGCTTTAGAGAGAGTTAGCTGATTTTGTACTGAGAATGACAAAGGTTTGGTGGGAACAAGAAACAAAAGAACAGTTTTCTGGCCAAAGTTACGGTGTTCATTAAACATGAGTGCATAAGACAACACATGAGTTCGTGAGCGTTGTTTATACCACAGTAACAAATATTCCAGCTGAACTGCAGCTACCTTTAAGTAATCAAGTGCTGCCCTGGCAAACTTGTGGATGACAGCATGAGCAATTTTCAGTATGACAAACAAACAACCAGGTCAAATGATGTCATTAACCGATCTTCATCTTGATCATCTTTTATGACAAGCACAGGTTACTCCAGGGAGCATCCTCCCCCCAGGGCCAACAGTGGCTATCATCATGCATGATGTGTAAATACAACACAGGTTAATGTCAGGTTCATGCAGTGAGATAAAATATGCTTTGTGCAACAACATCGAATCTTTATGCTCCTACTTACTGACTACTTCCGGTTGTCCTGAAAATTGTATGGATAAACATTGAAGTCTCCACATGTTTGACTAAAGTGTTTACTGGGGTAATGAACTTGTGAAAAAAGTATGATAAGTTCCAGTACACAAAACTCTATCAGCAGCAGAATGAAATAGTAACATGAAATAGTAACCTGAAATGAATGAACTTGTTCTCCAGATCCATCCAGACATCACAAGTAGGGTTCAATGTTAGCAGATGATGACAAGCATTTAAACAGTCCACTCACCATTTTATCAACAACCAAACACTTGTGTTTTCAATTCAAACCAGACAGTCAGAGAACAGCACACAACAAGGGCAATGAAGGCCATGTACAACCTTCAATACAGACAGTCAGGTTAGACCATGATGACCACATACAACCTTCAATACAGTCAGGTTAGACCATGATGACCACATACAACCTTCAATACAGACAGTCAGGTTAGACCATGATGACCACATACAACCTTCAATACAGACAGTCAGGTTAGATCATGATGACCACATACAACCTTCAATACAGACAGTCAGGTTAGATCATGATGACCACATACAACCTTCAATACAAACAGTCAGGTTAGACCATGATGACCACATACAACCTTCAATACAGACAGTCAGGGAAAGCCATGATGACCACATACAACCTTCAATACAGACAGTCAGGGTTACATACAACCTTCAATGACAGTCAGGTTAGATCATGATGACCACATACAACCTTCAATACAGACAGTCAGGTTAGACCATGATGACCACATACAACCTTCAATACAGACAGTTAGGGTTAGATCATGATGACCACATACAACCTTCAATACAGACAGTTAGGTTAGATCATGATGACCACATACAACCTTCAATACAGACAGTCAGGTTAGACCATGATGACCACATACAACCTTCAATACAGACAGTCAGGTTAGACCATGATGACCACATACAACCTTCAATACAGACAGTCAGGTTAGATCATGATGACCACATACAACCTTCAATACAGACAGTCAGGTTAGACCATGATGACCACATACAACCTTCAATACAGACAGTAAGGTTAGATCATGATGACCACATACAACCTTCAATACAGACAGTCAGGTTAGACCATGATGACCACATACAACCTTCAATACAGACAGTCAGGTTAGACCATGATGACCACATACAACCTTCAATACAGACAGTTAGGGTTAGATCATGATGACCACATACAACCTTCAATACAGACAGTCAGGTTAGACCATGATGACCACATACAACCTTCAATACAGACAGTCAGGTTAGACCATGATGACCACATACAACCTTCAATACAGACAGTTAGGTTAGATCATGATGACCACATACACCCTTCAATACAGACAGTCAGGTTAGATCATGATGACCACATACAACCTTCAATACAAACAGTCAGGTTAGACCATGATGACCACATACAACCTTCAATACAGACAGTCAGGGAAAGCCATGATGACCACATACAACCTTCAATACAGACAGTCAGGTTAGATCATGATGACCACATACAACCTTCAATACAGACAGTCAGGTTAGACCATGATGACCACATACAGCCTTCAATACAGACAGTTAGGTTAGATCATGATGACCACATACAACCTTCAATACAGACAGTTAGGTTAGATCATGATGACCACATACAACCTTCAATACAGACAGTCAGGTTAGACCATGATGACCACTTACAACCTTCAATACAGACAGTCAGGTTAGACCATGATGACCACATACAACCTTCAATACAGACAGTCAGGGAAAGCCATGATGACCACATACAACCTTCAATACAGACAGTCAGGTTAGATCATGATGACCACATACAACCTTCAATACAGACAGTCAGGTTAGACCATGATGACCACATACAACCTTCAATACAGACAGTTAGGTTAGATCATGATGACCACATACAACCTTCAATACAGACAGTTAGGTTAGATCATGATGACCACATACAACCTTCAATACAGACAGTCAGGTAAGACCATGATGACCACATACAACCTTCAATACAGACAGTCAGGTTAGACCATGATGACCACATACAACCTTCAATACAGACAGTCAGGTTAGATCATGATGACCACATACAACCTTCAATACAGACAGTCAGGTTAGACCATGATGACCACATACAACCTTCAATACAGACAGTTAGGTTAGATCATGATGACCACATACAACCTTCAATACAGACAGTCAGGTTAGACCATGATGACCACATACAACCTTCAATACAGACAGTCAGGTTAGACCATGATGACCACATACAACCTTCAATACAGACAGTTAGGTTAGATCATGATGACCACATACAACCTTCAATACAGACAGTCAGGTTAGACCCATGATGACCACATACAACCTTCAATACAGACAGTCAGGTTAGACCATGATGACCACATACAACCTTCAATACAGACAGTTAGGTTAGATCATGATGACCACATACACCCTTCAATACAGACAGTCAGGTTAGACCATGATGACCACATACAACCTTCAATACAAACAGTTAGGTTAGATCATGATGACCACATACAACCTTCAATACAGACAGTCAGGTTAGACCATGATGACCACATACAACCTTCAATACAGACAGTCAGGTTAGACCATGATGACCACATACAACCTTCAATACAGACAGTCAGGGAAAGCCATGATGACCACATACAACCTTCAATACAGACAGTCAGGGAAAGTCATGGTGACCACAACCTTCAATATAGACACTCAGGGAAAGCCATGGTGACCACATACAACCTTCAATACAGACAGTCAGGGAAAATCATGATGATCACATACAACCTTCAATACAGACAGTCAGGGAAAGTCATGATGACCACATACAACCTTCAATACAGACAGTCAGGTTAGACCATGATGACCACATACAGCCTTCAATACAGACAGTTAGGTTAGATCATGATGACCACATACAACCTTCAATACAGACAGTTAGGTTAGATCATGATGACCACATACAACCTTCAATACAGACAGTCAGGTTAGACCATGATGACCACATACAACCTTCAATACAGACAGTCAGGTTAGACCATGATGACCACATACAACCTTCAATACAGACAGTCAGGGAAAGCCATGATGACCACATACAACCTTCAATACAGACAGTCAGGTTAGATCATGATGACCACATACAACCTTCAATACAGACAGTCAGGTTAGACCATGATGACCACATACAACCTTCAATACAGACAGTTAGGTTAGATCATGATGACCACATACAACCTTCAATACAGACAGTTAGGTTAGATCATGATGACCACATACAACCTTCAATACAGACAGTCAGGTAAGACCATGATGACCACATACAACCTTCAATACAGACAGTCAGGTTAGACCATGATGACCACATACAACCTTCAATACAGACAGTCAGGTTAGATCATGATGACCACATACAACCTTCAATACAGACAGTCAGGTTAGACCATGATGACCACATACAACCTTCAATACAGACAGTTAGGTTAGATCATGATGACCACATACAACCTTCAATACAGACAGTCAGGTTAGACCATGATGACCACATACAACCTTCAATACAGACAGTCAGGTTAGACCATGATGACCACATACAACCTTCAATACAGACAGTTAGGTTAGATCATGATGACCACATACAACCTTCAATACAGACAGTCAGGTTAGACCATGATGACCACATACAACCTTCAATACAGACAGTCAGGTTAGACCATGATGACCACATACAACCTTCAATACAGACAGTTAGGTTAGATCATGATGACCACATACACCCTTCAATACAGACAGTCAGGTTAGACCATGATGACCACATACAACCTTCAATACAAACAGTTAGGTTAGATCATGATGACCACATACAACCTTCAATACAGACAGTCAGGTTAGACCATGATGACCACATACAACCTTCAATACAGACAGTCAGGTTAGACCATGATGACCACATACAACCTTCAATACAGACAGTCAGGGAAAGCCATGATGACCACATACAACCTTCAATACAGACAGTCAGGGAAAGTCATGGTGACCACAACCTTCAATATAGACAGTCAGGGAAAGCCATGGTGACCACATACAACCTTCAATACAGACAGTCAGGGAAAATCATGATGATCACATACAACCTTCAATACAGACAGTCAGGGAAAGTCATGATGACCACATACAACCTTCAATACAGACAGTCAGGTTAGACCATGGTGACCACATCCTTCAATATAGACAGGCAGGGAAAGCCATGGTGACCACATGCAACCTTCAATACAGACAGTCAGGGAAAACCATGATGACCACATACAACCTTCAATACAGACAGTCAGGGAAAACCATGGTGACCACAACCTTCAATACAGACAGTCAGGGAAAGCCATGGTGACCACATACAACCTTCAATACAGACAGTCAGGGACAGCCATGGTGACCACATACAACTTTCAATACAGACAGTCAGGGAAAGCCATGGTGACCACATACAACCTTCAATACAGACAGTCAGGTTAGACCATGGTGACCACAACCTTCAATTCAGACAGTCAGGGAAAGCCATGGTGACCACATACAACCTTCAATACAGACAGTCAGGGAAAGTCATGGTGACCACAACCTTCAATACAGACAGTCAGGGAAAGCCATGGTGACCACATACAACCTTCAATACAAACAGTCAGGGAAAGCCAGGGTGACCACAACCTTCAATATAGACAGTCAGGGAAAGGCATGGTGACCACATACAACCTTCAATACAGACAGTCAGGTTAGACCATGGTGACCACAACCTTCAATACAGACAATTTACTCATGGTCAAGAGCCTCACACCCTGACAACTACATAAAACCTTCATTACAGACAGTCAGAGAACAACATCACACATTGTTTTCAGCATATCTACACAAACTTATTCAAATCTGGTATAATAAACTAGATGAGTGTATCATGCAATGTTGAGCAGTAAGGAAGTATGACCATGGGTCAGTAGTTACCTGGTACAGAGGCTTCATATGCCTGTGCCTTGATGGTCACCTTGGTCTTGGATGTCTGAACCCACGCTGGATACTGGACATTGCTGGCCTGGGGAAAGGTGATGTCCTTCGGGTTCGTCTTGCCATAGGCCAGAACTGACAGTGAAGGGAGCACAATCTCACGCATGTTCAACTAGGTAGATTTTGCATCATTTGTATTGCATATAGTGTAGAATAAACTTAAACATTTAAGAACATAATTCTCATTTTAATCCTGACTGCAGTATTGAAAAACTAAATAAATGATGTATTTTGAGAGTAATAAATGATGTATTTTGAGAGTAATAAATGTTTGCAATATTTCTCTCACTTACTTTCTCCTATAACAACATCATACATACTTCTTTAAAATTTGTCAGATACTGATAGTATGGTACTGAAAAATGTATCCTTTCCTTTCAGAAAGAAGATATGGGATCTTTGGTCCAGTGACTGTATTATACTATTATCGATTATATGCATTAAAGAATGTAGCAGTGACAACATGGGACCTGTAAGTGCCATAAGGATAACAAGTCAAAAGGGCCACAAAACGGAAAAGCCAAAAGGGCCGCAAAACGGAAAGGTCAAAAGGGCCGCAAAACGGAAAAGTCAAAAGGGCCGCAAAACGGAAAAGTCAAAAGGGCCGCAAAACGGAAAAGTCAAAAGGGCCACAAAATTGTAAGTCAGATGAGTCGTATGAAAGTCAAAAGGGCCGCAAACCCCTACTCAAAAGGGCCGCATCACATTTTTTGTACATGGGGCCCTTTGGACTAGGGATCTGAGGCCCTTTTGACTTTTTGATGTTGCCCCTTTGACTTTTGATGCGTCCCTTTTGACTTTTTGATGCAGCCCTTTGGACTGGGGATTTGAGGCCCTTTTGACTTTCTTGACGCCCTTTTGACTTTTCCATTTTGGGGCCCTTTTGTCATGCAGCCTTTTTGACTAGGACCTAGTGCCAAATCCCCTGCCCCCTTCCTGCATCTGTCACTGTTGTATATAGTACCTATATTATTGGCGGTGATGATGGTAAGGCTCTGATCATTGCTTGAGGGGTTGGTTTTCTCACTGGCCAGTTGACCCACACTGTCCAGCGTCTTCAGCAAGGATGTGACACCCTGCTTGTTCTGCAACATGACAGGATGACATGTCATGCAGTAACCAGGGAAACTTCATCGGTATATCTGATGCCCTCTTGAATATGTATTCCATGACATTGCAATTATATTCACTTTTGAGACACTGAGCGAGACTACATTTGAGTATTTGCAAATTACATTTTAGAGATCATAATATCATGCTTCTACATTCTGGAGAAAAACAATGTCACATTATATGACAAAATATTTTCAGACTAAGCAAGTTACATTATGATGCAGAATAAGCTGAACCTGTTAGGGTTTTATGGATGATCTAAACAATACCATTGACATGCAAAACTCATGGGCTGTTGACACTTTTGAAGGAACGAAAACTGACGATTTTTACAATACTGATGAACATTACGGTGTGTATTTGCTGGTGGTATTGAATATTTGATGCCAAGGAATGAAATTCTCAAACAAACCCACACGTTACAGATCATAACGGTTATCTCCAAGTTTGACAAGCCTCACCTCATTGTGAAGGTCCTCCCACACCGTCTTGTTAGCGGTGTTCAACATATTGCTGGCACTCTCCACCACATCCTGGAATCAAACACAGGATTCTATATATATAATACTCTTGTACTGTATTGTATACTCTTGAACTACTGAGCTCATGGCCTCCATACAATAAACACTTAATTTGATTTTACAGTTGTGAATAGCGTTATCAATATACGGGGCCCAGTTCTGGTGTCTCCCGCCGTGATATTCCTGGAATATTGCTAAAAGCTGCGTAAAACCAAAACTCACTCACTCACTCAATATGCAGGATAAAATACTGTTATTTTTTCCAACCCTGCATCATGAATCTTGTTCAAATTATCAAAATGATCAAATCTGATGTTTTGAATTATTATACAGTACCAATATGTAAGTATTTTCAATGGTGTTAGTAAGGAGAGTGTATCTGTGGCAGAGTGCTATCACGTGATACCTTGACTAGCTCCTTCTTCACTGCCGTCTGTGTCTGCGCAATGCTGACAACTTGGTTGATGATGTTGATGGAGGCGTCCACGTCACCCGCCACCAGCTGGTTGTTTTCTGTCACATCCTTTAGTTGACTCACAACAGAGTCAGCATCTGTTATCTCGAACCCAGTCTCTATGGTGTTCAGCTTTATATAAGTAAAAAAGATTTTGCTGCAGCTTTATATAGTTACTAAAAATACACTCTCTGTAACTAGGTAACCAGTAATGCACTTCCCACAGGGTATCAAAATACACAGTGCTTCTAGATAATGAGAGACTAGTTATCCAAATATCTCTATGAAACCAAATATCTCCCCTCTCTTGGGGACTAATTATTTCCCCTCACTATGGAACCAATACCCTTTCAGGTAGCCAAATATCATTCTTCTATGGAACCAAATATCTCCCCGCTCTATGGAACCAAATATCTCCCCTCTCTTGGGGACCAATTATCTCCCCTCACTATGGAACCAATACCCTTCCAGGTAGCCAAATATCACTCCTCTATAGAACCAAATATCCACCCCTTAGGGAAACCAAATATCTCCCCTCACTATGGAACCTAAAATCTCCCCCCTCTATGGAACCAAATATCTCCCCTCTCTATGGAACCAAATATCTCCCCTCTCTATGGAAACAATTATCTCCATTCTCTATGGAAACATATATCTCCCCTCTCTACCTGATCCTGAAGGGCCACCAGTGTCTCAAGCCGGCACCCAGTGTAGTCAGCTCTCTGCCACTGCCCAGCACTACTGCACACTCTCTGGACCAATCCTGTAGACAAGTTACCAACATATACTGAGGGAAACAAATAAGGGAACACATGAAAGCACAAGTGTTCCTTTATTCTTTTCCAGGTTTCTTCGCACGCTTTGTATGGCACTGTGGGTGCGAATCTGAGAATAAATAGAGGAACACTGCGATGAAGTAGTGTTCCCTTTATTTATTTCCCTCAGTATATAATCTATATAATCCTTAAAACATGACCCCTATAGTCCTACAGGTCCTCTTATCGTATTTAGGTGAATGGTCAGTTTTAGCTTATGGAGCTCATCTGATCACAAGTATTACTAAATGTAACAGTATATATTTTCATCCTCTACTACTGATAAATGCCACCTTAAATGATGACTCAAGTGGTGATTCCTGGTGTCAGAACTGGTCTTGAGCAGAAGACGCTTGTAACATGAGAAAAATAAACTTGGATCGGATGGTCAGGATTAACTGCCAGAGTTTAGTTTCACGCCACTTTCAGCAATATTCCAGCAATATGACGGCGTGGGACACCCATGTGGGGAATCAAACCCAGGTCTTTGGCGTGACGAGCGAACGCTTTAACCTCTAGGCTACCCGTGTGGTCAGGAAGGGGGCCTGGTTGCTTGCATGTTATTGTTCACTGACACAATGGAATGATGTTCACAATATCAATCACTTGTATGTTTGCTCCTGACTATATTATCTAGAGGTCTCTGTTTTAAAACAAACAGAACAGCTTTGTGATTCAGATCTAACCAGCCCTGCACAGTGATCTGTCATTCCTGACAAGACAGATACATCAATGTCTGTTACCTTGGTAACCGTGAGGACAGTTCATCGTTATAGTTTCACCAACAGGAGAGGACATCCATAATGTCCCTTGTGAATCGTGGGACTGGTTACAGGTTTTCACACCTGTTGATAGAAGATTTGAAAAACATTTGACCATTTTGACCACAGACTATACACTGCCGCCTGTTTGACATAGTATGTAGCTTCGACATGGATACTGACCTAGTTAAAGTGTTACAAAACTCATTTACAGAAATAAGCAAATAGTTCCAGTAGTTCCAAGTGATGGAGTGATATTACATAAGAGTTAGCTCCCGTTACTCACAAACGGGAACAATGACATCATTTTGATCAAATGCTCACACATGTAAAATCTTGTAACTTTAAAAAGTGTCAAAAATTGATACAAGACTACCAATATCATTAAAACTAGACACTGTCTCTGACACAATAACTCCCTATATGAATACATCCGACAGTCAAGTATTTCCCCAATGTACAACAGGTGGATCTACTCACTGCTCCTAACGACCTTGATGGTCGCGGTGTGGCTGGTTGTGGTGCCCGCTCTGTTCATCACCCTGCAGGAGAAGGTGCTGTCAGACAGTGCTCGGTCGATCTTTAGTATTTCCTTCGTGGGGGAAACCTTCACCACTGGAAATAACATCATAATTAGTTTATACAAATTGTTGAATTATTTTTGTTGAACTGAATGATGTCAGACGGTAATGGTGTCAGCATGTCAGAGGTCACTGTGTCAGCATGTCAGAGGTCACTGTGTCAGCATGTCAGAGGTCACTGTGTCAGCATGTCAGAGGTCACTGTGTCAGCATGTCAGGGAGGTCACTGTGTCTGCATGTCAGAGGTCACTGTGTCAGCATGTCAGAGGTCACTGTGTCTGCATGTCAGAGGTCACTGTGTCAGCATGTCAGAGGTCACTGTGTCAGCATGTCAGGGAGGTCACTGTGTCTGCATGTCAGAGGTCACTCACTGTCAGCATGTCAGAGGTGTCAGCATGTCAGAGGTCACTGTGTCAGCATGTCAGGGAGGTCACTGTGTCTGCATGTCAGGGAGGTCACTGTGTCAGCATGTCAGAGGTCACTGTGTCTGCATGTCAGAGGTCACTGTGTCAGCATGTCAGAGAGGTCACTGTGTCTGCATGTCAGAGGTCACTGTGTCAGCATGTCAGAGAGGTCACTGTGTCAGCATGTCAGAGGTCACTGTGTCAGCATGTCAGAGGTCACTGTGTCAGCATGTCAGAGAGGTCACTGTGTCAGCATGTCAGAGGTCACTGTGTCAGCATGTCAGAGGTCACTGTGTCAGCATGTCAGAGGTCACTGTGTCAGCATGTCAGAGAGGTCACTGTGTCAGTATGTCAGAGAGGTCACTGTGTCTGCATGTGAGAGGTCTGTGTGTCAGCATGTCAAAGGTCACTGTGTCTGCATGTCAGAGGTCACTGTGTCAGCATGTCAGGGAGGTCACTATGTCTGCATGTCAGAGGTCACTGTGTCTGCATGTCAGGGAGGTCACTGTGTCAGCATGTCAGAGGTCACTGTCAGCATGGTCACTGTGTCAGCATGTCAGAGGTCACTGTGTCAGCATGTCAGGGAGGTCACTGTGTCAGCATGTCAGGGAGGTCACTGTGTCAGCATGTCAGGAGGTCACTGTGTCAGCATGTCAGAGTCACATGTGAGGTCACTGTGTCAGCATGTCAGAGGTCACTGTGTCAGCACTGTGTCAGCATGTCAGTCAGAGGTCACTGTGTCAGTGTCAGCACTGTGTCAGCATGTCAGGGAGGTCACTGTCAGCATGTCGGAGGGAGGTCACTGTGTCAGCATGTCAGAGGTCACTGTGTCAGCATGTCAGAGGTCACTGTGTCAGCATGTCAGAGGTCACTGTGTCAGCATGTCAGAGGTCACTGTGTCAGTGTTTCCAAAGATAATTATGTCAGCATGTCCGAAGACAATTGTGTCATTGTACAGAAATGTCATAGATGGGTACCACTTTAGTGAAACCCACAAGCAGAAGTGTTGCACTCACAAAATTACGATCATTAATGAGAGGAATCTAATATTCAAGTAATTGACCAACATATCCTTTTCAAGCTAAGGGAGGCAACCCCATTCCAGGCATTGCACTTACAGTAACCTCTGCTGAAGGTTATAGAATGGAATATAGGCAAGGCTGAAGACTGTTGTTTTACCTGGTGGGTTGGAGATGAGGTTGTTGTCTCTGTACCACCTAAATACCACATTCTGGACTTCCCCTGACACCATGGTACAGTTGAGCTCTACCGCAGTCTGGGATTTCACAAAGTTGGTCAGAGGTTCCAGTTTAACTGCAGGCTTTTGTAGTACTAACACAGATAATGAACGATGCTCTGAAAGGTTACCAGACTTCAGCTCACACTTGTATGTACCTGTGAAAAAAACACAAAATGCAGTTCATGAGTATCTTCATGAGGTCATTTGTAAGTTCATAGGTGAGTTTATGAGTGAGTTCATGGGCGAGTGTATGTTGGTGTTCAGGTTTGAGATCATGGATGAGTTTATGGTTGTGTTCATGTTGGGTGAATTTATGAATGATTTCATTTAATCTGTATCTTTTATATTGCTATTTGTATATGTTTAGATCGGCTGTGTTAGCTGATCAGCTGTTATTCCCAGTGTCAATGTTTATCTTGATACAAGTGCCAATTCATCATCTAGAATTGTTACTGCCCTGATTTAGACTGTATTTTGAATGTACTTTAATTATGTTACTCACTGAGTGTAATAATAAAAAAGAATTTATGAATGATGCTTTAGACTGCAGTCAGCTTCATACCCTAGCCAAATTGGACGGGAAAAAAACAATTAGTAAAAATATGCTTCTCAAACTCTTTCAAATTTTATCTACTAGCTTTTAAATAGTGTGCCAGCTTTTCCAAACCCCAATGAACTCATTTAGGAGGGCCACCTCAGGTGAACTTTCTAATCAGCTAATCAGTTTCTAAATTCCTTGTTTGAGTGGTGAGTGCCTCTTATGATTTCCATTTTCAAAACATTATGTAAAATAAACTACATTTATGACACATTCAAGGGACCACTATTTTGTTTACTTGGTCCCCTTGTGATAGTAAACATCCAATTTTAGGGCTACCCCTAAATTCACAAACATCAATTTCAATTTCCCTTAACAGCCTGGGTCTTGTACAAAACAACCTTAGCGCTAAGGCTACCTTAAGTCTATGTTAAGGTATGGGAGTTACGGTCTTCTTAGCGCTAAGATCGCTTTGTACAACAGCACTCAGTTCAACATGTTATCATGGTACTTAAAGCCCTGATTCAAAATGTCATCAGATGTAATTTTAAACAAGGGGTAACAACCCCTAGACTCCCCACCCAGGATCTGCTACTGTGAGTTCATAACCCTTGGGGCGGTGGGTTAGCCTAGTAGTTAAAGCGTTTGCTTGTTACGCGGAAAACCCAGGTTCGATTCCCAGGTTTGATTTGGTGTCTCCTGCCATGATATCAGTGGAATATTGCTAAAAGTGGCATAAAACCAAAGTCACTCTCTCACTTATAACATTCTTGATCTTAACAACAATATTTGTCTTTTTATATGTATATTCTGAATGTACCTGCACTATCTAATAGTAATAACCCCCTAACCAAATGATTGTTAAAGGTCACATGCAACCAAAAAATCAAACATAATTAAAACACAATTATCTTATTCATGACATATAATATACATTGCTGATTATGAAAAACATATAAACAAAATTATAAGTGTACAATCGCAAATCAAAAGTGCAATATTTTGAACTTGGGTTTCCTTCCCAAGAAACGAAGCAGCCGGGATACCGAACCCAGTCAGAGCGGTTGGGTGAGCACTCAAGTGTAACAGCTGGTTCATTTGCAGATGCTCTCACGGCTCATTGTGTGTGTCTATATATAGATGTTGGGTTTTGTAAATACATTCTCATTTTTTGTGTATAATATTTTGCAATCAACAGACATCATAACATGTCATGTGTTCAAGTATCACACCTGCCTGTCAGTGCAATTACATAATGTGACAGAGACCGAACTCGATAACCTGATAGGTGTTAAGTTCAAATTGCATGTGGTCAGTGATCGAAGTTGTGTATTGAATATTGTCATTAGCAGACAGGCAGGCAGGCACATAGGTGTCAATAAACAGACATTGAGTTTTGTCTGTGACAACGACATATCTATATCACAGTTAGAAATTCTGTCAACACTAAATAATGGCATTGCTTTTAAGTATCGAACTGAGAAAGTGACTCGGTAAGAAGAACGTGTGGTGAAATAGACAAATGAAATCATATAAACAGTTAAATCGGTAATCTACTGTCATAACATATAAAAAGCTCGCGCCTGTGAAATATCAACAAAACATTTGAAAAATAGCTCACACCAGAGCCTTCACCGAGTATTCACCGGACAACCCGCTTCCAAGCTGCGCGAACCTATTTCACTGCGCATGTGCTATGAGCGCAGCCCAGCTGTTGAAACCACTTTCTCCCCAAGCGCTGGGGGAAAATTAGCGAATCGTTTGAACTCCGATTTTGAGCGTTTTTTTCATCCCGTTATTTTTCAACTTTATAAGTTGAATTTGCATTTTTGATGATTTGTGTCGGTAAGTCCATACCGAAAGGTATCAGAATCTACAAAGTTGTTTTACATTGCATGTGACCTTTAAATGGATTCTATAAGTTTGGCCCTGATTCTGTCAGTTTAAACCAAATAAGAACATACTCTTGTACTCAACAACTTCAACTTGCAATGCAAAATTTAAATACCAAATGTTCAGTTCAAAACATACCATTGTCTTGAGATCCAACAGAGATGATACTAAGCCTAGCGACATGTCCGAACACATCAGTGTCCAGTGGGGTGATGCTGGGTGTATATTTGCCGGAGGAAGTAGCAGATATGGCCTTGTCATTTAATCTCCACTTGACTGTAGGTGGGGGATTGTCACCCACCAGTCGGAACACACACTCCACGGAAACGTTCGCATCCTCGCTCACAGTATCGTCGCCTGAACCAAGCTTCATGGACGTTATCACTGCATACTTGTCTGAAATTGTGAGTAGGATAACTTTATGTAAGAGTGAGTGATTGAGTTATTATTTAACGTCACATCGGCAATATTTCAGCCAAATCGTGACGAGAACATATGTGACATTGAAATGGAATACTTTAAAGTAAGAAACTGTCATGAATTTATATAAGACCATATATAATTTTTGTTAAAGGATTTCGTCATCAATTTTAAACTGAAGATACATCAATTTGCGAATGTTTTCATAATTAACTTTCCTGTAAAAACACATTATGCGTTAAGGAGGTGATCGGAAAAAAATTTATAGAAAAAAAGTCCTGGAAAAAAGTCCTGGGAAAAAAAGCCATGGGAAAAAGTCATCGGAAAAATAACTATTATAAAACATCCTGTTCTCCAGTTATTTACTTTGTTTCTACTGCATTTTATTAAATACTATTTCACTTTCATCTTCAAATAATCTTCAGTTAAAAAAACGTTCTGTTCTCCAGTTATTTATAAAAACTATTTCACTTTCAAGTTAATTATTCCTTTCAGCATGATGCTGTAAGCAATTGGATCTTATCAAAGCAGGAGAAATGAATGTATTATTAGTTATTTAGTTCTTAAAGGATTAATATGGAACTATTTCCACAGACCTCCATTCTTAACATCCACAAAGCCTGCATCGACACTTTGAGTGCCGAGTTGCCCAGTGTTGACAGCATTCCGGAAATCTCTTTCAGCGTTGTTGATGTTCCCGGTTTGGTTGACGGCCACGATAGCATCAACCAAAACACTCCCTGAGCTGTATGCACAAAATAACAATCACATTCACAAATACATGCACTTTTACAAGGGTACAGCTCTTAGGAGTGAGTGAGTATGGTTTTACGCCACTTTTAGCAATATTCCAACACTATCACGGCAGGGGATGCCAGACATGGGCTTCACACGTTGAACCCATGTGGGGAATCAAACCCAGGTCTTTGGCATGATGAGTGAACGCTTTAACCACGAAGCTAGTAACCCCACCGCCCGAGCTTTTAGAAAGAGGAGGATACGCTTACAATTGGCATACGGCATGTTTTGCAAACACGTATACAAACAATTGCTCACACTTGAAAGTCAGTTATTTTCATACATGTCAATAATTGTTATAACATGTGTTTCATACACTTTCTATAGTTCTACCAGATGCACGAGGTGAGGAGTGTTTTTGTGCATCCCACCTCTCTGTATCTATGTATGTGCAAATACACACTTAACTGTACAATATTATTGATGAATAATGAAGTGTAATACTTCGTTAGTTTACCTCAGACCAATAACTTTTACTTCATGCAATCCAGTGACAGCTTTAAGACCCATCTTCAACTGAAACAGGTAAACTTAATTATTACACAGTTACTGTACATGGGCGAATCCAGAGGGGACTGGGGGGTTGTGCAGGGCTGCTCACACTCCCCCCCCCCTTTTGTCCTGAAAGTTTATGACCATTAGAACTCTCATGAAAACGGGTGAGAGAGAGTGTGTGTGTGAGAGAGAGTGAGAGAGACAGTGTGAGAGAGAGTGTGTGAGAGAGAGAGAGAGAGAGAGACAGACAGACAGAGAGAGAGAGAGAGAGAGAGACAGACAGAGAGAGAGAGAGAGGCAGATATACACAGAGAGAGAGACAGAGAGAGTGTATGTGCGGGTGTTTTTTGTTGATTTGGTGTGTGTGTGTGTGTGAGAGAGAGAGAGAGAGAAAAAGAGAGAGTAGGGAGTGAGGGTGTGTGTTGAGGTGTGGGTGTGTGTTGAGGTGTGGGTGTGTGGAGTGTGACTGAGCATAATGCTTACATTGGTTTCAGCTGTACTTATGTACATCTTGGAGGCATTGGAGGTAAGGTTGTTGAAATCCGCCTTCCACTCTGTGTTCTTGTCCTTGTACCTCACGGTCATCTTGGTCAGCACAGGAACATCTGCCACAAACAAGTGGTCATTACCAGATTATACAACTTTCATACTTCCAAAACCCACAGGCTGGTAAAGTCAATGATTCAAACTTTGTTTTATGGTGGTGTGTGCATGTGTAGAGTGATGTTCAAGAACAATTTAATCTGCTCCACTATTACAGAAATGATACTAGTATCGAAATATTGTATAGAATGAGTGCAATAACTTCAATGAAATTTTACACGACAGGTGATGGTATAATCTCACCTCTTGTACTGTCTGTCAAGGTGTTTGAAGTGGCATTGCCAAATATTGTCTCAGCCTTGACAGAGATGACATGAATGGTTCCGGGCTGGAGACCAGTCAAGTCTGTTCCATTTTTCTTCTCCACTTCAACTTTGGGAGGGTACACCTTGTCTCCACCCTGGTACTCCACAATGAAGCGGTTGACAATGCTGATGTAATCAGCTCGCACAAATCTCCACTGCATCTGGATGGACGTGGTTGTAGTTTTTACCAGCTTGATCGTGAAATTCTGCGTCACTGAAAAACCAAAGATAAATGTTGCAACAAAGCATTCTGTTTCAAAAAGATTTAAAACTTGAATATCTCTCAGGCGGCATCTAGAAACATTTGTTGTAATAAGCAGGTCATGAATTTGGTTGTTTGGTTGGTTGGTTGTTTAACACCGTACTCAGCCATATTCCAGCTATATGGCAGCGGTTTGTAAATAATCGAGTCTGGACCAGACAATCCAGTGATCAACAGCATGAACATCGATCTACACAATTGGGTTATGATGACATGTGTAAACCAAGTCAGCGAGCCTGACCACCTGACCCTGTTAGTCGCCTCTTACGACAAGCATGGGTTGCTGAAGATCAATTCTAACCCGGATATTCATGGGTAGGTCATTAAGTAGTTGCTTGGGTTTGAAACCAGTTTGACTTAGATCGAAGAACAGCATGAGAAGCCTAACCTCACAATCATCACAGCTTTTCCTTTAAATCCTATAAAAGTACTGTCCGGAGTCCTCTATCTGTCTTAGTGTACAGCTCAAGCAAACATCCTTTTACATTTTAGACCTGCAAACTCATGACCCGGCATCTGTGTAGGTTCATTCTCTAACCAACAGGCTAAAATCATGGGGAGCATTAAGCAACAGAATTGGGTACTGATCAACAGAATGGGGTACCTAGCAACAGAATGGGGTACCTAGCAACAGGATGGGGTACCTAGCAACAGGATGGGATACTGAGTAACAGTATGGGGTACCTAGCAACAGGATGGGGTACTGAATAACATAATGGGGTACCTAGCAGCAGAATGGGGTACTGATCAACAGTATGGGGTACCTAGCAACAGGATGGGGTACTGATGAAAAGTATGGGGTACTGAGTAACAGCATGGGGTACCTAGCAACAGGATGGGGTACTGATCAACAGTACGGGGTACCTAGCAACAGGATGGGGTACTGATCAACAGTATGGGGTACTGATCAACAGAATGGGGTACCTAGCAACAGGATGTGGTACTGATCAACAGGTTGGGGTACCTAGCAACAGGATGGGTTACTGATCAACAGTATTGGGTACCTAGCAACAGGATGGGGTACTGATCAACAGTATGGGGTCTCTAGCAGCAGAATGGGGTACTGATCAACAGTATGGGATACCTAGCAACAGGATGGGGTACTGATCAAAAGTATGGGGTACTGATCAAAAGTATGGGGTACCTAGCAACAGTATGGGGTACCTAGCAACAGGATTGGGTACTGATCAACAGTATGGGATACCTAGCAACAGAATGGGATACTGATCAACAGTATGGGGTACTGATCAACAGTATGGGGTACCTAGCAACCGGATGGGGTACTGATCAACAGTATGGGGTTCCTTGCAACAGCATGGGGTACTGATCAAAAGCATGGGTTACCTAGCAACAGCATGGGGTAGCTAGCAACAGTATGGGGTACTGATCACCAGTATGGGGTACCTAGCAACAGGATGGGGTTCTGATCAACAGTATGGGGTACCTAGCACCAGAATGGGGTACTGATCAACAGTATGGGATACCTAGCAACAGGATGGGGTACAGATCAAAAGTATGGGGTACCTAGCAACAGCATGGGGTACCTACCAACAGTATGGGATACCTAGCAACAGGATGGGGTACTGATCAAAAGTATGGGGTACTGAGTAACAGCATGGGGTACCTAGCAACAGGATGGGGTACTGATCAAAGTATAGGGTACCGAGTAACAGTATTGGGTACCTAGCAACGGAATGGGGTACTGAGCAACAGAATGGGGTACCTAGTAGCAGGATGGGGTACTGGGTAACAGTAAGGGGTACCTAGCAGCAGAACGGGGTACCTAGCAACAGGATGTGGTACTGATCAACAGGATGGGGTACCTAGCAACAGGATGGGGTACTGATCAACAGTATGGGATACCTAGCATCAGAATGAGGTACTGATCAATAGTATGGGGTACCTAGCAGCAAATTGGGGTACTGATCAACAGTATGGGGTACCTAGCAACCGGATGGGGTACTGATCAACAGTATGGGGTACCTCGCAACAGCATGGGGTACCTAGCAACAGGACGGGGTACTGATCACCAGTATGGGATACCTAGCAACAGGATGGGGTACTGATCAAAAGCATGGGGTACCTAGCAACAGCATGGGGTACCGAGTAACAGTATTGGGTACCTAGCAACGGAATGGGGTAATGGGCAACATAATGGGGTACCTTCTAACACGATGGGGTACTAACAAGGGGTACTGCATTAGGATTTAGGGATTGGATTGGGAACAGGGGAACAGATGTGACACTGGAGAACAAGATTAGGATCTGGGGAACATGACTGGGAACTGGGCAAAAGATGGGATACTGGGGAACAATATTAGGAACTGCTGAACAACATTTAGAACTAGGGAACAGCATTTAGAACTGCAGAAAAACATTTAGAACTGCGGAACAGTATTTAGAACTACGGAACAACATTTAAAACTGCGGAACAACAATTCGAACTGCGGAACAACATTTAAAACTGCGGAGCAACAATTAGAAGTGCGGTACAGTGTTAAGAACTGCGGAACAGCATTTAGAACTGCAGAAAAACATTTAGAACTGCGGAACAACATTTAGAACTGCGGAACAACATTTAGAACTGCGGAACAGTATGGAGTACTGGGGAACAGCATTAAGAACATGGGAACAGTAAGGCGTAGTGGGGAACAGCATTAGGAACTAGGGAACAGTAAGGCGTACTGGCGAATACAGCACTAATAACTGGGGAACAGTAAGGCGTACTGGCGAATACAGCACTAGGAACTGGGGAACAGTCATGTTCACTAACTAACGTCTAATACTGTATCAGTAGACACTGATATACTAAGGAACATGACCCACTTAGCGTGATCTGTACGTGCTACAGACAATTAAAGGCATGTAAACTCACACTGAACACTAATAACCACTGTGACTTGCTGGTTGCTGTGCCCATCCGTGATCCCTATCCTCAGTGCATAGGTGCGTGTAGTGAGAGACAGCGGCTGCTTCAAGGTGATCTTCCCTTCATCGCCCAGAGCAAAGTAATCATCTGGAACTAGAGAGACATGGGATATGTCATTCTGGCTTGTTCACTGCTCTTTATTTAAAAGTGAATAAACAATTCAATGGAAATTGTTTTACATCCCAGATATTCAAACTCTAGATAATCATCACAATTGCCTGTTTACAGGTAAACCAATGGTTGATAACATGAACAAAAACTGTTTATGCATTACAACACAATATTAGCCAGATTGAAATCATAACCAAAAATCCTCGTTCAGGCATAGTGTACTAATGACCTGTTCTGGCCATTAAATGCACAAAGTCACACATTTTCGACAATATTTTGGCCTATATTATACACATTGGGGCATATGCACTCACTTTAGCTTCATATTGATGCAATAAAAGACTTATCATCCCTGACAACTTGCCTGAAATCGATAAGGTCCAAACAGGGAACGCCTGCCATATATGGAATGTAAACAGTTGCTTCGTACATTGAAAACTGTGATACACAGTGTTGTTGGTGTTTGCTGAACTGGATTCAAAACATACTTGTGCGTAGGATATTCGTAAAGAGCGCTCCAAGGGACATAACTGTATGAGTTCGCTTGAAATAATATTCGGCCGGTAGAGGGTACTAGAGTAAATTAAATTCATTCCAACTTTTTAATTTAATATGGTAATCTAAATACCTAATTTGTTTGGGAATAAATTAGATGGTAGCTTCCCTGAAGGCTGATAGGTAGCATTATTGAGAGAAATGCAATATGGTTTTTTTTAGAAGAGTGGTGTGACATTGTGCCTTTAACATTCACTGGGGGCTCTTCTAAAGAAAAGGTTTCCAGCTAAATTCACCACCTTCTTGATCCTAAAGCAAAAACTTCAGATTATAACATTCTCAAAGGGGTCACTCATTTTATTTTATTACAACCATTGTTTGCTAAATGGATTTTGACTAAAACATACAGTGGTCAGAAAAACAACAACATTTTGCAGAATTCATCAATTCATTATAAACTTGTTTGTTATGATTAAAGTGAGTGAGTGAGTTCAGTTTTACACCGCTTTTAGCAATATTCCAAAAATATCGAGGTACATCAGAGCGGGCTTCACGCATTGTAACCATGCAGGACCTGGGTCTTCAGTGTGACGAGTTAAAGCTTTAACCATTAGGCTGCCCGCCTCATATAATTATATTTGACAGTACATACAGTAGATATTGGCACATATGGTGTATATGGTAGGCATTCTAACACTACCTTTCAAGGTATAGCTGACTTGGTTCAATGACGGCCTGAAGTTGGCGTCGGTGCAGTTCACTTTAAGGACCAGTGCACCAACAGGCTTGCTGAGGCTGACCTTCACCGTATCAGGGATGGCCTCACAGTTGGGGGGGATGTTGATTTCTTGGATTATGACGGTTATGCTGACCGTAGACTCCAAGAGCGATAAGGTATCTGTTGCCTGGATACAGAAAACAGGCATATTGTGTAATACATGAGAAGGATTTGTGTACGTTTAATGTCAAAGCTTTAACTGATATTGCAGTTTATCATTGACCATATTTCAGAAAAGTTACATGCCACCTACTTCAGCATGCCTGTAATTATATAATGTGACTGTAGGTACCTTTGTAACACAATGTAACAACTAACACCTAAGCTAGCAGCGTACACAGTGAAACCATCAATACCTGCACTGTCAGTGTAACACAATGTAACCATCAATACCTGCACTGTCAGTGTAACACAATGTAACCATTAATACCTGCACTGTCAGTGTAACACAATGTAACCATCAATACCTGCACTGTCAGTGTAACACAACGTAACCATCAATACCTGCACTGTCAGTGTAACACAATGTAACCATCAATACCTGCACTGTCAGTGTAACACAATGTAACCATCAATACCTGCACTGAAACCATCAATACCTGCACTGTCAGTGTAACACAATGTAACCATCAATACCTGCACTGTCAGTGTAACACAATGTAAACATCAATACCTGCACTGTCAGTGTAACACAGTGCAACCATCAATACCTGCACTGTCAGTGTACCACAATGTAAACATCAATACCTGCACTGTCAGTGTGTAAATCACAATGTAACCATCAATACCTGCACTGTCAGTGTACCACAATGTGTAACACAAGTGTAACACAATGTAACCATCAATACCTGCACTGTCAGTGTAACACAATGTAAACATCATCAATAACACAATGTAACCATCAATACCTGCACTGTCAGTGTAACACAATGTAACCATCAATACCTGCACTGTCAGTGTAACACAACGTAACCATCAATACCTGCACTGTCAGTGTAACACAATGTAACCATCAATACCTGCACTGTCAGTGTAACACAATGTAACCATCAATACCTGCACTGTCAACTCGACTTCAAATCTCCTTTGCATCAGCAACTCCTTCAAGGTCTTCAGGGCCTGCAGCTCACCCGTCTCAGGTTTCACCTGGAAATACGAGCTCACAGAGGCTGGTTCGTAGGCTGAAACCAATCACATATTATTGAAACATTTTTACATCATAAACAGTGCAACCAAATTTTAAAAAATAAAAATCGACAAGTAAAAATATCAAGTACATAGCTGAAAGTGACAACGGCCAAATGGGATCACCCATATATGAATTTCAAGAGAAATTATGTTATTTTTCTGTCTCCCGCCTCAGATGGTAAAACCATGTTCTTGTTGTTACTAGGACAAGCCTGTCTAAAATGGTAAAAAGCACAAAATAAAAGAAATGTAGATTGATTGAAAATAAATGCATACTGAACAATATTACTTAGAATGACTATTGATCATTGGGGTAGAAAATATAGTCCTGCATCTTAGAAAAATGACCTCAAGAATATATAAATCAAGGAAAAAGCTAGTTTGGTTTACTTTGTGTGTGAGATTGTTGATTAAAGTACCTGTAATCTGGTATGTGATATTGTTGATTAAAGTACCTGTAATCTGGTATGTGATATTGTTGATTAAAGTACCTGTAATCTGGTATGTGATATTGTTGATTAAAGTACCTGTAATCTGGTATGTGATATTGTTGATTAAAGTACCTGTAATCTGGTATGTGATATTGTTGATTAAAGTACCTGTAATCTGGTATGTGATATTGCCTGAAAAGTTTCCACCCGTCACTGCCTGCACTGTCAGAAAGGTGTCGCCAACGGCAATATTCTCCGTCACATTCACCTCGTACTTCAGTTGCTCAAAGGTTGGTGTTGATCGCAGGTACACCACTCCGATGTCAGCACGGAGGCTTACATTCTTTAAGCCATTGTCAACCGTTATCTCAATCTGAAAGTGTAAATATAACATAAAATATGAGTGAGTGAGTGAGTTTGGTTTTATGCCGCTTTTAGCAATATTCCAGCAATATCATGGCGGGAGACACCAGAAATGGGCTTCACATATTGTACCCATGTGGGGAATTAAACCCAGGTCTTTGGCATGATGAGTGAACGCTTTAACCACTGGGCTACACCACCACTTCCAGAAAATATGAGATAAAGGAACTTGATTGAATGTTGTTGCATGGCTTCTTGACACAAGGGAGGTAACTGCTTGTACAAGATGAGTTTCTACAAGATGAGATGTATTTAATGTGCTTTTCATGCTGTCTGTCATATAGTTGGATGTCACTAATCGTGTCTTGGCAGTTATATCTAATGGTCAACAGCACGAGCACCAACCAGAACAAATAGACACACATCAAAGCCTCAGTACTCGACCACAAGGAGGTGTCATGGGTGAATTCTGTCCGCACAGAGTTTGGAGATAACAGTGTTGAAGTATGATTAAAATGAGACATATCTATCATCCTGTTATACCGTTCTTCAACATCACATTGTAGAATAATACAATCAACTACAGGACATTTCCTTAACTTAACATCAACAGCATCAGCTCCATTGCAACATTAACTACTCTCTGCATGACAACACTCGGTCTTCATATCATACAACTAAATCCTGTCAATGGATTCCATCACCCTTATGTTTCAGGTTACAGAGATGCTTTGAAGAACCCCTGAAGATACGCAACTGGGATACAATGACATGTGTCAACCAAGTCAGCGAATCTGACCACCTGGTCCCGTTAGTCGTCTCTTACATTAATCAAGTACAGTCCCCATGGAATAAGAACATATTTTGATCTGTGAGCAGTCTACTCACATAATATGTGCCATTAGTTGACTGTGTGTAGCTTAGGTTATACGACCCCGAGTCTCCATCTCGAGTAAATCCACTGGTGTAGTTTCCGCTTTCCGTGTACGTCAGCGTGCTGGTCGCATCTGCCGTCGGGTCGGTGCAGATGACATTCAGGGATATGACACTGTTGATGATCCACACTGGAGGGTTTACCTGACGAAGTTCGCACCTGGCACTGACAGAGCCTGGAACACACCACATACATGCTGACACCACGACAACACCCACTTGTACAACAACATCGGATACCCACTTGTACAATAACATCGGATACCCACTTGTACAACATCTCAAACACCAGTCATACTCTTTCCTCCTGGATACTTAAAGTAGTAGTCACTACATACAAACAAATACAGAAAATGTGCACTGTGCAAATTTGTATCCCTATGTTTGCCCAATTTCAGTGACTATTCTGGCCAAATACTTCAAGAGACGAGTAAGGCATTTTACTTTCTGTTTCTCTCTTGACCCTAAATACGTGAGACAAATTAAATTCCAGCTGAAAGCACATACTATTACCTCTCTACCAGAGATTATATATTAAATTACATATATTTTATTATATGGTCTCTGCTAATAATCAGTCTTACAAAAGAAAACTGGGCATGTCAGAAGTTTAAGAATTTGAGATCAAATCCTTGGTACCAATATGTTTCTAAGATTGTCAGCGCCATGCCGATACTTGTGGGTTCCACAAAATGGTAAACATCTGACACCTGCATCATTGCCATCCTCCCACATGAAACTGACATGCTGTGATGTAACCGGAACACTGTTCAAAATGGCGTTAACCTTCACATAGCAAGATTGGCTGCTGGCTTCAAATACATGTATTGTGACTGATGATGTAGTATACCTACGATTAACATTGACGCTGATGTCGACTACATGCTTCAGACTACTGTTGGCCCCATCACTTGCCACGGCCTGCAACTGGAGGGTGTCCCTGTCTCGTGGCAACCTCCTCCCAAGTGTGATGACACCGCTCGAGCTGATGTTGAAAAACTCTGGGAAAGAACATGCATGGTTTAAAACATCCCTGTAGAGCTGTAGAAGTAGTGAGTGGGTCATAGGAGACAACACTGAGCAGCATCTAAGCCTCCAATCATCAGTATATATCTTCTGTTGAATGGGGTATCGGTTAATGGAAACTTGATCATTATAAGAGTCTGCACTCAGTTCTATAAGGTTCTAATGGTTGGTGTGATGACATGTATTGAGTCATTATATACTGGCTTTTTCTAATCCATCAACAATTGAGTAGATGTCAATAAATCCTTTTTTCATGGGTTTATTTCATTGTGGTTTTCTGGTCCAGTTAGTCAAATAAAAAAAAAAAAAAAATAAATAAATACAAAAAAAGAATGAATGAATGAATGAATAAATGAATGAATGAATGAATAAATAAAAAAAATGAATGGATGAATGAATGAATGAATGAATGAACGAATGAATGAATGAATGAATGATATACCATCATGTCTCAGTGTAATTCCTTGGTGGATACTTGATCTAGCCAGCAACAATGTAACTCACCTTGATCTGTCCCTTCCATGGTGTAAACAGTCACCGTGTTGTTGATATCATAGTCAGGGTCTGTACATGACAATGTTTCCATCCTGGTGCCCACCTCTGTCACTAGATTCATATTGAAGGTGAGATTAGACACAGTACACGCTGGTGCTTCATTGATGTCGATGATGTCCACTGTGTACATCGCTGATACTGACTCATTACCCCCATCTACTGCCTGCAACAGAGTAGGTACAAGTAAACCTCCCTGGGATTTGAACCAGGATGGGACATATATATGTACATATGAGCATAGCTCAATGTTGCTACAAGGAGTTGAACTGTATCAAAACAGTTAATCTCAAAGTCAACATGGAGGCAATAATCCAATTTGGGAAAATCTTCAGATTAGATCCACATAAGCTGTTTTAAAGAATTTATGTGTACGAAAAATATATATGACAAACTCAGTTGGTGCTAGAGTCGGGCACGTTGTCCCCTCATGTTTTCTATGCTTTTTGCAGGGCAGTTGGGGTAGCCTTGTGGTTTATAATAATGTGTCCATTTATATAGCGCCAAACTCCAAACTAGGTATACTTATGGCGCTAACAATCAAAGCACTGCTCATTATTACAGCGGATAACCCAAGTTGTCTGCTAGGCACTAGAAGGTTATAGCCACATGACTTATCCCACCAGGTACCCATTTTCTGCTGGATGAACAGAGGCAATTTTGAACAAACATGTGCTTCGTTGTGGGGCAGGACTGAAGTCCTAGAAACTCTCGTTCACTCATCATGCCATAGACCCGGGTTCGACTCCCCACATGGGTACAATGTGTGAAGCCCATTTCTGATGTCCCCTGCCACGATATTGCTGGGATATTGCTAAAAGCGAGGTAAAACCTCGCTCACTCACTCACTCACTCTATGCTTTTTGCAGGTAACAATAAAGTGGCACACGGACATGTGTGGGTGTTGGTGTGGGTGTAAGTGTGGGTGGATAGGGGTGGAATATTCACATGAAGTGAGGTGTCTTTGGAAGAGCTAGAGAAGTGTTAAGCATTACAATAACCATTCGTAACCCATGTTAATGGAAACTCTTTACCCATGAAAGTCACTACAACTTTACAGAAGCCCAACTGATATCACATGTATATTAAAGGCCCTTTCAGATGTTGCCATGATTTGTTAAATTTAGCAATAATATTTGATGACAACAATTCAGGTGACTGAAAGGATCTGACTGCAGAAGCTATTTGTTCACAACATACGTGGTTATTGTCAGGAGAATATTTAAATGGGGGTTTACACAATAGTGCCTTCAAAACTGGTAAGATGGTTTTACTGCAATCTGATCAGATGTGTTAAATCTTGGACAACTTGGCCATATTTCCTGGTCCAAGCCAGTTTGACAGTAAACTTGTAATGCATGTATACACTTTACCTCGATGGTGAACTGGTACTTGACAGACTCGTCCAAGTCACCCCTGACAGAGAAGTAGGAGACAGACATGCTGGACGAAGAGAACTCGATCGGAAGATTATCGGCAGCTATTGCTGTTTGATTGCTCTTAAAAACAATCTTTCCTGAAATAAAAAAACTGGAATGTACCTTCTTATTCTTTATATGCATTATTTGGTAAAATCCCATTAAATTAGAGATGAGGTGATAGCCCCTTGTCATTGTGCAATAACATCATAGGGTAGGTGAACAGGCATCTCAAAATCTGATTCATATGTGTTCATCAAGGGTCTTCATCAAAATACCATCCACATTATCTTATTATAAGTCACTTATCATGAATGGGTGATGCTGCGTTTAGCTTCTCACTGAACCGTTTAAACTCTAATGTGACAAATTACCCTAATTTGCGACTGAGTGATACTCAGTAGCTTGTCATCATGTAATATATATCAACATATCAGTCATTGCAGTAGGTGAACCTCTAAAATGTGTCAGATTTGTTAGGAAAATGTGTTCATCAAAGTACTATCCCCATAATCCAGCAATCATCAATGGATGTTGTTATATGTGCTGTCACCAACATTCCTGCTGTATCAAGGTGGACTGTGAACAGGATGAGGTGAACCAGTGTTTGATACAATGAGCATCACTTTTTAACACTGGAATGAAGTGTCATACAATTTCACATGTCATCTTTACATGTGCTTGCATTGAAACATGAACAACTACTAATATATAATTACACAATAAAGATTCGGCAATGACACACAATCAGCTTTGTCACATTATGACCACAAGATCCTTGTCATTCATCTCTTACAATATAACCAAGACCGTGTAAACTGGTGATTGACGTCATGAAGAACAACTCTTGTCACTGGAGTTATCAGTTATTATCAAATCATGTATATACTCAACCTTTTATGAACATGCAGACATGTTGCATACATACGTGAGTGAGTGAGTATGATTTCCCAGTTTAAACAATATTCCAACAGCATCACGGCAGGGAGATACAGCAAGAATGGTCTTCACTCACTGTACCCATGAGTGGAATCAAACGCAGACCTTCAGAGTTACAAGCAAACACTTTAACCACTGGCCTACCCTACTGCCTAATCTATACAAAATTACCATCTCAAAACACAGTACAGGGTATCATGCTCCACGTCAGTACCAACCTGTCTCTTACAACAAGTGTAGACCCTTGAAGATCTGGTTAGAACTGGTCTTCACCAGCCCACGCATACATCTGTGTGTACAATACACTCGTAAATATATTATCATAATCCATATTTCACAACAACTGTACATTAAGGGGGGACACACATATGGACTAATTTTGAAATCACTGCGGAGAAGATCGGAATTCAGATTCGAAAAAAATACTGTTTGTGCTGAAGCCATGACCTCATCTTGATGCTTCATAAATCTAGAGACCCGTGAAGATCCGGGTTAGAATTGATCTTCAGTAAGCCATGCTTGTCGCAAACGGCGACTAATGGGATCAGGTGGTCAGGCTCGCTGACTTGGTTGACATGTCCTCGTATCCTATAGTGTAGAATGATGCTCGTGCTGTTGATTACTGGATTGTCTGGTCCACACTTCGAACCAACCAACCAAGTGTGAGTGTGGGGTACCTGAAGACTGTTCTCTCTGTGATCTGTACCACATAACATACCTGTAGCTGCCGTCCTTTGGATCTGATGCCGTGGCGTGTGTTTGTCCGGGTCTGTCACGCGGATGATGTCCAATCCATCAGCAGTTTTCAGCCCTGTCTCATTGAAAGATCCACTGCTGATCTGCAAAACTGCGATTGTTGTCCCAAAGGATGTGGTTTCAGGTATGGCTCCATGGTACTTGTCGTTTTGGAATTGTGGCGCTTCATTCACGTCCTCCACTACCACGTTCCAGGTCACGGTGACATTGCCAAGACCATTTTCCACAAGCACTTTCACCTGAAATAAATCAGGCATTATCAGGAAATGTAGCAAAATCAGGTGAAGATTCCAAAGATAAATGGTATTTTCATGATTTTATTAATGTTTGATAGATCGTGCTTCTACTGCCTTCCAAATTTTATTCTCCTTTGAAAAGATATTTTTGATAACAATCAGAATTCCTGGCAAGTAAGTACTCTGACACCCGAATAATACCTGCACAGAAGAGGTTTCAAGTGTTAGAAAAGGATGTGAGCCCACCGTGTCCACTGCGGCGCTAGTCATATGACAATTGACCTTCTTGCACCTCACAGGCAGTATTGGCTATCCTGGGTAATAACATACGTTGTCCACTGGTCACGAGGGGGACATGGGTCCGGTGGGGCCAGTGAACAACATATGTATCTTACCAAACACCTCAATGTTAATTTTGAACTATTTGAAGCACGGTATCTGGCCATAATAAGAGTTCCAGTGACCACAGTTAGGCAATTAGCCAATACTTGATTTTCAGATGACATAGATTATCCTGGCAGACGACAAGAAAAACAAATTTAGAGTTATCTTCCTTCCATTCTTGAGTAAATATTGCTTTAAGCCGCATCAGCAATTTTGCAGCTATTCGGGGCTATTTTTAAGGAAGCATCTTACCAGACTCTCAAAGATATTTCTGCACTAAAACTAATTTTAAGCATTTTATGTCAATTTTGATTTTACAACAGAATTGAAACCAAACAAGAAATCTATAAAAGAGTCATTACGTCATGGCTGCCGACACTGTTCTTGAAGTTGGAGTTGTTGGAACACATTCGGAAGGCAATTGATCTTCCAGACTCCTCCTTCTCCAGTCTGAAGTTATCCGGGAGGTTGGTCATCTGGACAGTGAGCAGTTTGTCCAGGGGGTTGGTACATTTGACCTTCTCGGCCGCACACCCGACACTGTCTGTGTCCTTGAACTGGACACTCACACTTGTCACGTTGCAGGTGGGAGGAAACGCCTCTGAAATACACATGACCTTGACATTAATCCGAGGATTATCCCTATTCATATATGCAACACAAAATGTGAAGATGTAGATGATCATGATGATGAATGACCATGCTCTACCATGGTTGGCCACTTTGTCACATGACCATGGTGTACCATGACAACGGTTTTACCAAATAATCATCTTTCACAATGGCCATCTTGGACTGACCAACCTCATAAAAAAACCCATCCAGTCATGTTTGTTGGTGAACAATGAAATAAATATCTCTTACAACTATCATAGCTGTGTGTTTTACCTTAAGTTATCAGTGTATGTAAGGTTTTGCAACATTTGTAATTTTGTTGTCGAATCCTATTTTCAAATGTATTCTTCTGCTGTGGATGGAAGAAAGGAAATGATAAGATTGTGATAAGAAGCTTCTTCAGGAGATTAACAACTTACTGTTATACACAATCACCACTGGGATGGTGACAGAGGGACCAATAGTGTTGCCTGGACTACCGTTGCTAACGGTAACCTGGTACGATAGTCGATCGTGTTGGTATGGTATGGTATCCAAGAGTTTGATAATGCCCTCCGATGACACATTGATCAGTGAAGTGGCACCTGAAAGAAAAGATGTTGGGAACATAGCATCTGATGTTTCATGTGTTTACTTTTTGTCTTTTGTTGTATGAGTGATTGTGGAATGGTTCAATGCAACTTTATCAATATTTAAAACACAGAAGAATTTTAGCCATGTGTCCAACAAGCCAAGACAATACTTTAACCCTCTGACTTTGTATGTATTAGACATCAATTTGTAATTTTCTTCTTTATATCCAAAGGTTAGCGGGAGAATATGTTTTACACCACTTTTAGCAATATTCCAGCAATACCATGGTAGGGGACACCAGAAATGGGCTTCACACATTGTACCCATGTTGGGAAGAGAACCCAGGTCTTCGTCGTGGCAAGCAAACGCATTAACCACTAGGCTAGCTCACTGACCCACAATTGAGTGACATCTTGAACACTTCACATGATTTTCAAGGAGTTGAATGTTACAGAATTGCATGGATTATTATCATCTGTCCTGGTTTTACACAAGTGCAACTACAGTAGACCAAGTGTCACCCACCCATCTCTGTTGGTTGAACGTCATACATAAGCCTCCTGTACTCAGCCTTCACGTCAGTGTCCCAGCAGACGAGCTGGCCGATCACAAAGTTAGGCGAAGCAGTGGCATTCACAGTGAAGTCTCCTGGCAGCTCACATTTCGGAGCTTCATTCACATCATCAACAAGGATGATGACGTTGACGGATGTAGACAGCCCTCCTCCATCTGTTGCCTATAGCAACAGACATACACAACACATTTTGAAGATATACTCATATGTTATACAACAATGACATGGACAGTTGCCTGTAACATGTACAAAGCATATGTGCTAGCCCATCAACCAAAACTTAGCAACATGGCGTCATTTTGTTTTATATGGAGTCAATCAACTCGAGCCTCAAACCACAATGAACTGTTTCATCTTTGATAAATAAACAAACTGATGTTCAAAAGAACAATTTTGAAAATAGAATTTGACAAAAGTAATTACAAATGTTATCAAAATATTACTAGGTTCAAAATACTCAAACACTGCAAGAGGTATTAAATACAGGTATCATACCCATATGAAACATATCACCACTGAATAACATCTTCTTTTTTGTTATTTCCAGCCACAATCAAACAAGGAAATACACTTTCTTCTTTCCAGAAGTTTATGAATACAAACACCAAACAATTGATGATAATTGATTATATTCATTGTGTACAGACTGTTATCACTATGAATGCCTCTTCAAGAGAACAATTTTTCTCCAATAGAATTAATACACACATAGCATCTATTGTTGTCAAGTAAAATAAGAAAATACGACTAAATATGAAAATATGATAAAACATTATTGGTTTTAAGGCATCAGAATTATCATCTCTAATTGACTAAGTGAATGATTGAGTGAGTTTAGTTTTATATCGCTTTCAGCAATATTCCAGCATTACCACGGCGGGTGACACCAGAAATGGGCTTCACACACTGTACCCATGTGGGGACTCGAACCTGGGTTTCGGCGTGCCGAGCGAACGGTTTAACTACAAAGCTACCCCAGCGCCCCTTGTCTCTCATTAAGTTATGCCAGTACTTACTGTGATTGTGTAGTTGTAGTCTGTATTCCTGGTAGCGTTCAGCACCTGAGCTACTTTTATCATCTTCGTCACATTGTCAAACTCAAAGTCTCCGCCATGTGCTGATGAAGGGCTGACAGCTGTATATCAAGTATATAAATGGTTCCATTTAGAGAATAGAATTTCTTTCTACTTTTGGCCTTAATACAGCAAAATTTGGAATTTACCAAAATTTATTTTGGTTTGGATTGATTTGTTTTACATGGAACTCAGAACCACGTCTTTTTAGTATTAAGACAGAAATAAGTGTTTTAGTGATGATGATGATGATGATGAGGATGATGATGATGATGTTTATCCTGTAGATGTTGCTGAAACAAACGTTAATGACACAGTAAATGAATGCCCTATAACTTCTTTGATGGGCATTTTAGAAGTTGAGGTGATCAAGAATGATGATAATTTTATGGCTATACAACTTCTTTATTCTGTGAAAGGGTCAACCATAAAATTATCATCATTCTTGATTATCCTATAGTTTGTTTGTACAATGACACATAATCAGCCTGGACATGCAGCCTAACACCTAGTCGGTTAAGTTTCCTTTTGTGACCAGTATAACTGGATTCATTCCAACTTCCCAATAGACCCCTGCCTAACACAGTAGTGTCCACGGCAGACCATTCTACTTCAGGTCTACTGAAAACAAAATCCACATCACCTTCAAAACTGACAGACAGAGCACCATTGTTTCCAGGATCTGGGTCAGTGATATTAAGAGTTGCGAGCGGTGTCGTTACTGGTGATGTTTCGTTGATGGTGTAGGTGTTGTTGATGGAGAGGCCGCTGATGACGGGCAGGTCATTGACATCAAGCACTTCAAACGTCAGGTTTAGAGTAGTTGAAAATAGATTGTTGGAAACTTGAAGACCACTCTGAAATGATAAATATAAAACATACAATTACCTCAGTGTTTCTGATCAGCCGTGTTCTAGTTCGTAATAACGAAGAATAATGATCATAGCTTATCTGGTACTTGAATCCATGATCATTGGATTCTGACAGTAACAAGGGAAGTAACTCTGCAGGATAAACTGCCACACCTTAAAAGACGAGGTCACCTATGTCAACAATGCTGTTGTGAACTCTTCTCCATTTATATCCATTATACCATATCATCCTAACGAGGGAAGAAATCCCATAACAACATGTAACAGACATATATGACTTTGATCAAACCAACTGGCACGGAAAGAGAGCTTACAGAGGGAGGATCTGATGGGGTGAATTTGGAATTCAAATGTATGACTGACACATCCTGGCAGGCTAAGGAACACAACTCTCAAGTCAGATGGGTCACCTTCAGTCAATAGCTACCTGGTGCAACTTGTGTGTTGAAATATACCAAACTTTCAAAGGGCGTGGTTACTTATGAAATCCACATTATTCACATTTCTCATAACAAACTGAATTTGAGGTCACCTTTGATATGAGTGTATGTACAGCAGGCAGGTTAAAACGAGCATGAGCCATGACAAAAACGATGAACAGTAAATCCATCAATTCTTCTCTAAACATGAAATAGTAAATGTGTTTTTTCGCCACTTTCAGCAATGATTCCAGCAAGAGGGCACACCAGAAATCGACTACATTGTAACCTTTTGACGAATCTTGCCCGGGTCTTGGCCATAGCAAGGGAAATCTTTAACCACAACCCCCAAACATGAACTAAACCAAATCACGTGTACGTGTCCTGTGTGTTGTTTAGTTCTCTCGTCATAGAATGTCATGTTATGTCTGACTGAAAAATATATTGCTTCTCAAGCCGAAATCCCAGGCCCCAAAATATTTAAATTTTGGTCTGTTAGGCCAGACCAATTTTATTTCTTTGTTTTACGGATCTGCCGGTCGTATTATTTCAAGAATAAGAAAAAGAATAAAAATTAATTTTCCCCGCTCAAAAAATAAAATCCTAATGTTTTTATTGGCCAAGAATGTAAACTTAAAAGAATGATTTTTAAGATTGTTTCTTGCCCCATATACACTTCATTAATTGCCAAAAGTAAAATACTTTTAGCATTTAGAAGGAATATTACTTAGACTGGTGATTTTATTTTTATTTTCTTTCCCTCCTGCCTTAAGGTTTTCTGAGGACACAAATCCATAAAACAAGAAATACAATTGGTCTGGCCTTACCTTATAAATTCCAGGTAACCCGGTGATGTTTTTCTCCAGGCACACAGTCAAGTATGGCAGCTGGGACCCCACAGAGTTGGTCCCTAGGGTGAAATATTGCAGGAGGGACTTGTCCCCACTCCCCAGGGATGTGCTGGTCAGGTTGAAGGTGAGGCCGGTGGCGGTGGGGTTGCTACAGCTGTGGGTCACATTGAGGCAGGAGGCGACGGCACTTCGCTCCGAGATGGAGTCCTGGAGGTTTGTGTTGGAACATGTAGGGCGCTTATCTGGATAGAAATTGCAACAAAAACCTTCAGTGTTTTGTTCAAAATAATATTTCAGTTCCACTTAATATAAGCTGGAAGCAGATTTAACATATTTGAAGATAATACATAAGTTTACATCCTAGGGGTATTTTAGGTTGAGCTGGACAGTGTCTTAGTTAGGCCTAATATATGGTAGCAGCTTCAATGATTGTAAGGGGTGAGGCAAATCATGAAGCAGTTCAAAGAAGCATTACCACTCTGGTGAAAACTATGAGCACAGTTTCAAGCTGATAATGGTTCATTAACATAGTGAAGCAGGATGGACAGCAGATCCAGACATCTAAGGGATATAACTCTAATGTCACAAATTGATAACCTATTGATATTTAGTTATTTGTCAAAAAACAACAACTAAAAGTATAAGTACTATGCAGCATACAGCACACCAACCTATCCCAAACTGCAATGATGGATTATTTTATTAATTATGAACGGTCGTTAATTGTCTGATAGATTATCTGGTCGTCATGCTAGGGAGATAATCTCTAACTTATGATTTAACTCTTTTCTTTTTCACTGAATACCTGAGAAGTTGAGAGTGATTGGCAGTGTCAAATTCAGTGAAGGAGTCCCTTCATCTGCAACGATGACGTTGAATGTTGTTGATGGTGTTGCTGTCAGATTGAGTGCACTCAGCGACTGCTGTATCAAAATCTCCCTTTTCATGCTGTCATTGAAACCAAAATAACCTGGAAAAAACAGATAACAACTGAACACATTCATCCAATAAAATATTTTCTTAAATTTGATCAACACTAAAGTAAACACGAGGCTGCCATCAAAGATTGGTTCTGGTGCTGAGTGATCAGGATATATTGAGTGTATGTTGTCATAATCATATGTTGTCATACATTACTACTAAGTCACAGCAGCCATTAATGATGAAGTCTGAACCAGACATACCTGTGATTGATACATTGTGGAATGGTCAATTAGACATGGATCCAGAATGTTTTAAAGGGGATGCAGATTTCAATTTTTGGGGTGGGATAGGGATTGTTTCTTTTTCCCACTTGGTAAATAAACAAAATGGGTAAGCAAGTACTTCAAGAAAGACACAAAAAGATCACAACAATCCATCTATATCTGAATATATGTAAACATCTTGTCTTGACTAGATAAACCAGAGGTTGATAATATGAGCACTGCTCAACAGTGGCATGATACAAGACCAAATATATATACCAGCTTCATCATCTATCATCTTCTGTCTTTTCTTACAACAAGCACATGGTAGTCAATGAACACACTGCCAAGGACTTCAATGTGGACAACGACATTTTGAATATGAAATTTTGCGTTATGGTATTAAAGCCTTTGAAAGTAAAAATCTTCGAAAGATAACAGACCCTGTGTTCTGAAATGAAACTTTGGAAGACCCAGAGAGTCTGTCAAATACTGCCGAAGAATTCAAAGGGACAATCACATGTTTAAATATGAAAGTTTGTGTCATGTGTTTTGAATGTGTGTTTTTTTTAGCTTTTGTGAGTGCAAATCATAGTTTAAACATTAGAACAAACTAGAGGCTCTTTAATGACTCAGAAGACACTGGGAGACTGGCAACCTACCTGCAAATGGAGCGTTGACCCCCTCCAGACTGAATGTGAGTATGCTGTTGTTGCCGGGAACGTCCCAGTCATAGCAGTTCAGTATGATAACCGAATCATTGACTGGCGCTGTTACATCAACATTCAATGTAACACCGCCGCTGTAGGCACACTGAGGCGCCTCGTTGACATCATCAACGTTGATGGTCATATTGATGCTACTGTTCAAACCCCCAACATCTCTGACCTACAAGAACAAAGACAGATGTGTTCAAACATGAAATATTATCTTTATATTCTGTGGGATTTATCCATGTTATTTTACTATTTTCCCATGACTGGCGAATTAAGAAACAAACACCAAAGTGGTTTCTGCATTACACAGTACAGGTAAGATAATGAGGCAGGTAAAAATGTACTTACTGTAATTTTGACAGTATAAGACATATCTAGAGTAGCATTCAGAGTTCCACTGGTGGAGATCTGCCCGGTACCGGGCACAATTCTGAATGGTACGGGAATGCTGGAATTAACTGCATCTGAAAACAAATCATATGTTATCATGCCAAATAGGTTTGCAGTGAAATCTACCACCCAGTTACAGTAACCCATTACTTCAAATAAGTAAATTGAAAATAAGTTTAATAAACTTTGTGCAATAGTCAGCAAGTTTTTTAAATGAGGCCAGACCAATTTTATGTCTTGTTTTACGGATCCACCGCTCTTATTTTTTTCAAGAATACGAAACAAATAAAAGTTAATTTTCCACGCTCAAAAAATAAAATCCTAATGTTTTATTGGTCCAAAATGTAAATTTACAAGAAAAGTTTTTTTAGATTGTGTTTTGCCCCATATATATGCCCAAAGTAAAATAATTTGAGTATTTATTTATTTTTTATTTTTTTCCCTCCTGCGTTTAGGTTTTCTGAGGACAAAAATCTGTAAAACAAGAAATAAAATTGGTCTAGCCTGAGCAAGAAAAACAATTACTAACAAATAGGCCTCCTGTATTTAATCTGAACATACAAAGCAACCATAGGCAATTATTGGATTAAAATACCACATCTATTTCTTTTTTCATTTTATGAAACCAATTTAGTCTGGATTCACAAATCAGGAAACACTACGTTATTTATAGTTACTTTTGGAACACAAGTAGTTGTAAAGCCTTCACCATTAATTTACTAATACTGACATCTTGTGAATCTAGAATATGTAGTTGGAAATGGTAGCATCTTAATGACTGAATCTAAACCCAGGAACTGTTCTCCTGCTCTTACCCTGTATGGAGAAGGTGACGCTGGATTCCTCATCTGTTGCAGTGATATTATAAACTTGTCCACCTGATGCTAGTTTCTCGCTCACTGTCACCACGGGGATGGTCGATGGTACAAATACAGGTGGCGTGTTCACTATTACCACATTAAACATCAACTTTGTTTCTCCATACACATTTGTCACAGTCACAGTTACCTGAAAAAACAACAGCAAAATGTTCCCAGTTATTGACAGATAAACACTAGTTTCCAAAACAATGTTACATTCAAACAAAGCTTCACTGGTGTAACTGTAATACGTTAAGCAACATTCACAATACTCACATCACCTTATTCTAAAACTTTCAAGATTAATTCAGAAAATAGTGTAACTGATATTTTCACACAATGCTTGATGGGTTGGTGGAAGATCAGAATGCAGCAAACCTGAAACTAATTATTGTCATCATTAAAGGCAAGACTTGTTTATGGATGTCAAGTTCTCTATTGTGATGGAGACGACGATTCGAAGTATATTCTTACTCCTTCATCAGGTGTACATCCATAAAAATGCCTATATGTGTATCACTTCAAAAAGCCATCCAAGGCCTCTATTGTCATCTTTGATGCAGCAAGAGGGGATTTCTAAGCAGAACTGCTTCCAATTAACCAATGCCTTCTATAAGAGTTCACCAAATTGGATCAGGTGGTCAGACGTGTTGGCAGCATGGTATGGAATGTAACTCATATTATCAACCACTGGGTTTCCTGGTCAAGAATTGTATATTTCCATACTGCTTGTCACAGGCACACAACTGTACCATAATACAGTGAAACCCGGATCGGTAATACTCCAAAGGGCCATGGCAAAAGTGGCTACTTATCCGTATTGCCACTTATCCATCCAAGCAAATTGTATCACATTTCCAAGTGAAGTAAATAGACATCGTATCCACACTGTATCAAGGCAACCTGACCCGTTCATTGGGACCATTCATTAACTTATATGCAGATCAAAATAAAATAAAATAAATAGATAAATACAAATTTGATTCATTTTTGATATCAACATTCATCATTAAAAAACATTTCATATACATATACATGAGATACTTATTCGATTTTACTTATCCAACATGAAATAATGATAAATAATGAAGGCAATTGCCGGGACCAGAGAAAAAGGTTTACTTATCCGGCTTTGCCACTTATCAGTAGTTTACTTATCAGAGTTTCACTGTACATGATGTGAGGCCAGGTACAGTCAGAAACATTGACAACAGTTTTCCTAACCTAGTGTTATTGAATCCTTTATCATACTCACAGAACTGGGGAAGGTGCTTTCATTGTAGACCGCGGCCAATGAGATGCCGGCATTTCCGACAGCCATCCCTCGGACTTCCCTGCTTGTTGCGGACACAGCAAAGAAATCGTTCTCAATGTCGTTGTCAATATCAAACTCCATGGCATCCTTGTTGGAACCCGCTGTCTCGCAGGTGAAGTTGATGTAGATACTATCAACAGTATCCTTTGCTTTCACGTTCAAGACTGAGCTGGACACAGTGCAGTTGGGCTTCTTACCTGAAACAAAATGGTACTAGACATCATCATCATCATAACCATCATCATCACCATCATCATCACCATCATCACCATCATCGTTGTCATCGTCGTCATCATATATCATGCCCCTTGGTATCATCATGATAAATGCCATTGAACCAGTGTGTGAAATAGTTTCCAAATTTTGCTGAAAGTTACTAGCCTAGGAAATAATTCACTAGCCAGAAATTTGAATTGTAGGAAAAGATTACAAAAATACATGAGAATACGATTGTCGGCATGATACAGGTGCCATCATTAAGCTGCTGATTTGGTGAACATGTTTATCAGGCCATAATCTGTCATGATTTAAAAGTGTATTATAACTTAACAAGTCGGAGAGAGTGATATATATACAAAATGACCCCATGAAAATCCACTAGCCAGTCGGGCCAGTAACCGTGGAAATTTACTGGTCCGACTGGGTTTTTACTAACAATGGGCTAGTGGGCCAGTGGCTATACAGCACACTGCATTGAACATTAATGGCGAATACAAGTACATTTGTGGTGCTTTAAGTTGTGTCAAATATATCAACACATGTCAATAAACGTTAATAACTCTGAGGTTTGTCTCCAAGTCTTGTGTGTATGACACAGAATCAATCTTCCACTTGTTTCAGTTTGTGAACAGTGACAACAATGTTTTGTGAGCAACAATCAGAGCTAACGGGCTTTAAGTAGCAGAGGATTTTAAGTGAATTCAAAAGAACTCATGGTAACCAACTATGTGGTTTACATAGAGATGCAAGGATTTATTAGCAGCATCTCCTTCAAGCCATTGCTTAAATATTGTCACCCAAGTATATCTACTCTTGAAGACAGTTTAGGATATATAAATGCAAGTTCGATTTACATTTGCTTTGAACAATGTATGTTTGATGGTTTTAGTAAGACAAAGAAGCAGAAATTAATGCTGATGAACCAAGACTCATAAACATCAACGGATTTGATCCTGTGATCTTGTCACAGCAAACTGATGGAACTCTGCACAGAGGACTGTGATGCTTGAAATCACTGGGTCAGAAAGGCCTTAGACCTTTGATAGAAAGATGCATATTGCTCAGAATGACCTTCTTGGACAGGATTACTGATCAAATTGAAACATTGAGCGCATAAATTTTGTTTTAGCTTACAATCAGCAATATTCCTCAATCTCATTGACACAAGAAATGGGTGCTTCAATATGACAATCAGATTCTAATATTACTTGGCTCTTAATGTATAAAGCATTGGTGCTTGACGATACCCACACATTCAGGAGAGGTACTGGATGTTAACAGATTCCCAGTGACATACCTGCACTAATTGTGAAGTTGAATGATGTGCGCACATCATACATTGATGAGGCCTCCACAGTAACATTGAAATCAGCCACCTGGGACGTTGTGTTCATGGAAATGGAACCGTTGCTGAACACAGACATGTCAAAGTTTGCTGGAAGGGAGAAAACGATCTTGTCAAAACAGTATGATGATATGAATATACATATTTCAACAGCATGTTCTAAATTCAATATTTATTACACAATTATTTTTTTAGCAAAAACATTAATCTGCAATCTGGTTGAGAAATCTGGTTGAGAAAAATAACTAGAATACTGCACAACATGAAATCCAATCCAAGAACGCTACAAAATAAAACATGATCACCAAAATCATTATTGATGAATCCCAAAAGACAGTTTTAGTATCAATGTACGTTCATATGTTTCAATGAATCAAGAATTTCCTTTCTAAAATTAATGTCTCTGAGCATTAAATAAAAGTTGTTGTATCAATCACATTAAGCATCATATCTGAAATCACTCTCCCTTCAAAAGTGTATGGCACAAACATGTCAAAGAAAGTTTGAGTTATGCCCCCTTTATGGAGGTCAAAGTCACTCACCTCCTGATAGAACAGTGGCTTTATAAGAGATGCTGTTCCCTGCTTCCGACCTACATGACAGGGGTTTAACTGCAGGTGGCGTAACTGTAGTGTCGACATTTAAGATGGTTGGAGTGTCATCACATGTCACTGCATCATTGACCAGCAGGAGGGTGAACACCTTCTGGGCCGACAGGGGTGGGTTCCCATCATCTGTTACCTGGGATAAAACCAACCTAACCTTATGTGTTGGAATGTTGTAATGCTTACATTGACAGTGAAATCTATCCTGGTAACATCGACATACTTACATTGACAGTGAGATCAACACTGATAACATCGACATACTTACATTGACAGTGAGATCAACCTGATGACATTGACATACATTTACAGTGACAGAGAGATCTAACCTGATAACATCGACTTACATTGACAGTGAGATCATCCTGATAACATCGACATACTTTACATTACATTGACAGTGAGATCTACCCTGATAACATCGACATACTTACATTGACAGTGAGACCTATCCTGATAATATTGACATACTTACATTGACAGTGAGATCACACTGATAATGTTGACATACTTACATTGACAGAGAAATCAACACTGGGAACTTTGACATACTTACATTTACAGTGTGATCAACACTGGCAAAATCGACATATTTACATTGACAGTGAGATCTCGACATACTTACATTGACAGAGATCTATCCTGATAACACTGACATATTTACATTGACAAGAGATATCCTGATAACATCGACATACTTACATTGACAGTGAGATCTATCCTGATAATATTGACATACTTACATTGACAGAGAGATCTATCCTGATAACATCGACATACTTACATTGACAGTGAGATCTATCCTGATAATATTGACATACTTACATTGACAGTGAGATTACACTGATAATATCTGACAACTTACATTGACAGAAAGATCAATCCTGATAACATCGACATACTTACATTGCAGTGAGATCAACACTGATAACATCGACATACTTACATTGACAGTGAGATCTATCCTGATAATATCGACATGCTTACATTGACAGAGATCTATCCTGATAACATCGACATACTTACATTGACAGTGAGATCTATCCTGATAACATCTGACATACTTACATTCATTGACAGTGAGATCTATCCTGATAACATCGACATACTTACATTGACAGAGAGATCTATCCTGATAACATCGACATACTTACATTGACAGAGAGATCTATCCTGATAACATCGACATACTTACATTGACAGTGAGATCAACACTGATAACATCGACATACTTACATTGACAGAGATCTATCCTGATAACATCGACATACTTACATTGACAGTGAGATCTATCCTGATAACATCGACATACTTACATTGACAGTGAGATCTATCCTGATAACATCGACATACTTACATTGACAGAGAGATCTATCCTGATAACATCGACATACTTACATTGACAGTGAGATCTATCCTGATAACATCGACATACTTACATTGACAGAGAGATCTATCCTGATAACATCGACATACTTACATTGACAGTGAGATCAACACTGATAACATCGACATATTTACATTGACAGAGAGATCTATCCTGATAACATCGACATACTTACATTGACAGAGAGATCTATCCTGATAACATCGACATACTTACATTGACAGTGAGATCTATCCTGATAACATCGACATACTTACATTGACAGTGAGATCACACTGATAACATCGACATACTTACATTGACAGAGATCAACACTGATAACATCGACATACTTTACATTGACAGTGAGATCTATCCTGATAACATCGACATGCTTACATTGACAGTGAGATCTAGCCTGATAACATCGACATACTTACATTGACAGTGAGATCTATCCTGATAACATCGACATACTTACATTGACAGCGAGATCTATCCTGATAACATCGACATATTTACATTGACAGTGAGATCTATCCTGATAACATCGACATACTTACATTGACAGTGAGATCTACGCTGGTAACACTGACATACTTACATTGACAGTGAGATCTATCCTGATGACATCGACATACTTACATTGACAGTGAGATCTATCCTGATAACACTGACATACTTACATTGACAGTTAGATCTAGCCTGATAACATCGACATGCTTACATTGACAGTGATATCTAGCCTGATAACATCGACATACTTACATTCACAGTGAGATCTATCCTGATAACTTCGACATACTTACATTGACAGTGAGATCTACCCTGGTAACACTGACATACACTGACAGTGAGATCTACCCTGGTAACACTGACATACACCGACAGTGAGATCTACCCTGGTAACACTGACATACACTGACAGTGAGATCTACCCTGGTAACACTGACATACACTGACAGTGAGATCTACCCTGGTAACACTGACATACACTGACAGTGAGATCTACCCTGATAACACATCGACATGCTTACACTGACAGTGAGATCAACACTGGTAACACTGACATGTTATTTACATTGACAGTGAGATCAACACTGGTAACATGACATACACTGACAGTGAGATCTACTGTGACACTGAGATACACTGACAGTGAGATCAACCCTCGACATAATACATTGACAGTGAGATCTACCCTGATAACACTGACATACTTACATTGACAGTGAGATCAACACTGGTAACACTGACATATTTACATTGACAGTGATCATCTACCCTGATAACATCGACATACATTGACAGTGAGATCTATCCTGATAATATTGACATGCTTACATTGACAGTGAGATCTATCCTGGTAATACTGACATACTTACATTGACAGTGAGATCTATCCTGGTAACACTGACATACACATTGACAGTGAGATCTACCCTGATAACATTGACATACATTGACAGTGAGATCAGAGCCTGGTAACACTGACATACACTGAGATCTAACACTGACAACATCGACATTGACAGAGAGATCTATCCTGATACCATCGACATACTTACATTGACAGGAGATCTACCCTGGTAACATCGACATGCCCACTTACATTGACAGTCAGATACCCTGGTAACACTGACATAACATCGACACCCTTAATTGACACTGACAGTGAGATCTATCCTGATAACATCGACATACTTACATTGACAGTGAGATCTATCCTGATAACATCGACATACTTACATTGACAGTGAGATCTATCCTGATAACATCGACATATTTACATTGACAGTGAGTGAACATCGACTTTACATTACATTGACAGTGAGATCTAATAACATCGACATACCCTGGTAACATTCACGACAGTGAGATCTACGCTGGTAACATCTACATACTTACATTGACAGTGAGATCTATGCTTATAGCATCGACATATTTACATTCACAGTGAGATCTATCCTGATAACATCGACATGCTTACATTGACAGTGATATCTAGCCTGATAACATCGACATACTTACACTCACAGTGAGATCTATCCTGATAACATCGACATACTTACATTCACAGTCAGATCTACGCTGGTAACACTGACATACTTACATTGACAGTGAGATCTATCCTGATGACATCGACATACTTACATTGACAGAGAGATCTATCTTGATAACATCGACATACTTACATTGACAGTGAGATCTATCCTGATGACATGGACATACTTACATTGACAGTGAGATCTATCCTGATAACACTGACATACTTACATTGACAGAGAGATCTATCCTGATGACATTGACATACTTACATTCACAGTGAGATGTACCCTGGTAACACTGGCAAGCAATGTCAGGTTTGTAGGTTTTGTATAGTTGATGACAGGCGTGTCACTGGTAATGCTGAAGTCCGAGGCCATTGTGCTTGGACTGACATCTGTGGTAAAACATAGAGGAGTGACAGGGAGACCAGATTTGGGCCAACCGGAGGTCCTTGCAAAGGACAATATGTTGAGAACATGTCGGGCATAAGATTTGCAAAATGTAATGAGAAAACCTTTCGAATGAGATGACATCACAGTAATCAGGTTTTCTGTTATTGCAGCACCAGAGCGAGAGGTTGAAGTCAACTGCATTGTATCAAAATAGCATATTGTCAGAGGTTTTCACATAAAGGTTTTAAATGACCTGAATAAAATTGGACCATGTGCCTTCCAATCTGCACGATACTTTGTTTTAGTACTTTTCTTTTAAGAGGGTGGGAAAATTGCATAATTATGAACACAAGCATATTGTAAATCTTGCAAAATAGTGTCTGGTACTTAGTGAAAATGAGGATTTTTATAAATTCCTTTGGCACACCAAATTTGAACATAAACGTAACTCTTCATTTTACAATATTTTAGAGCTTGAGACTTACTGCAGCTCTTCTTTAGAAATGTCTGAAATTTGCACAAAACATGTTAATCAACTGTCACTCTTTCGTTGTGTTAACTGATAACATATTTCATTGATTGATATTGAAAACTTGCCTGATAACTGAATCTGTGAGATGGCATCGGGGGTGGTGTTAAGTGGTATGTCTATAGTCCTAAACTGGTTGAGAAGGGGGATTATAATGATAGCCGGATTAAGATTACTCCCAAACACAGGCGCTTCGTTGAAAGTCACACACAGGTCAAAGTTGTCATGCTGGGGAGTGCTTAAAATTTGGGTTGCAAAAACTGTAATCTGGAACATAGATAAAACCAACATGATTATTTTCGGCTGAGTAAAATTTGAAGAGGAACACCTTTTTATGGATAGACAACTTCTTTATTGCAAAATAAAAAGGAAAGAAAAAAACAACACCTTCTTTACTGCAATAGATGCTACGATCTAGTGTAATAAAGAAGTTTTTTATCCATAAAAAGCGTTCCTCTTCATCATACCAGCTTCTAAATGCCACTTAAGGACGTTAAGTAAAATTCAATAATTCCACAAGAAATTACAAAGGCTATGAAAAAATATTTAGCAAATTGATATTGAAAAAAAAATGTGTTTCCCCTTCTGATTTGTTCCCCTTATTCACTTTGGAAAGTTAAAATCCATGGTTAATCAACACTGCAAAAGATAAAAAACGAAAGCGAGAATACGTGAATTAATTAATGGATTAATTTCACGACTTACTGACTGACTGGGTTTTGGTTTTACGCCGCTTTTAGCAATATTCCAGCAACATCACGGCGGGGAACACCAGAAATGGGCTTCACACATTGTACCCATGTGGGGATTCCAACCTGGGTCCTCGGCGTGACGAGCCAACGCTTTAACCACTAGGCTACCCAACCGCCCCTAATTTCACGATGTGCAAATACTTACACAATATCTCCTCTGGGTAAAATCAGTCTTGAGGAGCATGAGACAGGCACCGTTAAATTCAAAGATGTTGTAGTTGTTAGTAATGGTGTAGTTGAGGTCGTTGGTGTCGTTGCATGTTGGTATAGTTGAGTTGACACAGTAGACTGGGTCTCCAGACTGTTGCTGTGTACTGGACATGGAGACATTCACTTGAGGTTCGCATTTAGGGCCCTGGCTGTTGACCACTGTGAACGTGAGATGGACACATCACACAAGGTAATCAATGACACGTCGACAATACCAACGTGAAATGCCTCAATACATGTATTATATGTTCGAAGACTAGAGCTGGATATCGATATAGATTATAGAGATCGATAATCGTCAAATAAATATCGATTATCGATAAATATCGGAGGAGTAACTTTCAGTAAAAATGCTCAAAAACTCTCAAAGAAATGAATATATTTCACATCACTAGTGACATGATAATGCATGGATTACTAACACAACAGTATATTGAACATATTAATTTAGGAAGCAGCCCATGAATAAAGACGTTGCTTTATATATATTGTGTGTAAATTTAAAGCTATTTTCTATCACTTAAGTTAATATACTAAAGTCAATTTGATAATCATTAGTAATTTTTCCCATCGTCCATATTTCCAATTGTCGATAATATTAGTCAACCTTATCGAAGAGTACACTCGTGATATATCCATCAACGCTAAATGTTCACCACACCATTAAGCAAAGTCCCCCTTGATAATCACTGATGAAATCTGAGACTTAAGAACGCAGTAAGAAAGGTAGGATACTTTATGGATAACAACTTGTTTATTATATTATGATGCAGCTGTTGCTTGACAAAGATATAAGAATTTATACCGAAACGTCGAATCATAATATAATAAACAATTTGTCCTCCATAAACTATCCTACCTTTTTACTGCGTTTTTGTTAAATGCCAGTCAAACAGATTTTGTTTGAGCAAAAGTTTCTATTTTTCTGTAGTTATTTGATCGAGGGTACACCTTACTAGAGGTGGCACCACTAACTCTTACTGGGGATTGTCTTCTAGAAGCAAGAAGCAAGATGCACAATGGTTAGGCTAACTCTTACTGGGGATTGTCTTCTAGAAGCAAGAAGCAAGATGCACAATGGTTAGGATAAGTGAAACTGGGTGTAGTAATATCTATGCTATACGTGCCTGTTGGAAAGGTTTCGGTGGTAGTTTGTGAAACTAAGGGGCTTGGCCCTGTAGGATCTTTCCCTGAAATAAGACGTTAGTGTTCTAAATAATCTAGCAAGCAAGCAAATTAATAGCGAATGTATGTGTGAATATTGGTTAATGTTGCAAACAAACCTTAAAACTGTTATTTCAATCTGAAGCTAAATGCTTAAACTATTATTTCAGCCTGAAGCTAAATGCTTAAACTATTACTTCAGCCTGAAGCTAAATGCTTAAACTATTACTTCAGCCTGAAGCTAAATGCTTAAACTATTACTTCAGCCTGAAGCTAAATGCTTAAACTATTACTTCAGCCTGAAGCTAAATGCTTGTCTACTCTAGATCACTCGATCAACCACATGCTGCAGGTTTGTTTATTTTTTAGCATTCTGTTAAAGTGCTAAAACGCAAAATAATCTTGGTGATATCATATGTTATGATGCGTGTATGTGAAAATGTATATTGTGACAAGTCAATTATTTAAATGTTATATATATGAGAATCTTGAAAAAGAGTTGCAAGAACAGATTGAAGCGCACATAAAATATAAATATACCCTTCGCCGTAGCATGAACAAGACTGTTTCATCCATAGCGAGGGCGGGCATTCAACATGTGTTTTGATTCATTCATTCATCTCTGATTTTGAATACGTGGACATTTTATTGTCTGCATGAGCCCTGCGTTCTTTTTAGTTAAACGGAGTACCCATCGCAACTAAACATCCCGTTGAAATGACATTTTCTTTCTGATATTGCAACCTTCTTGGCGGCTGGCAGTACCATACCATACCATACCATATCGTACCGTACCGTACCGTACCATACCGTGCCATACCATACCATACCATACCATACCATATCGTACCGTACCGTGCCGTACCATACCACACCATACCTAAAAACGCGTTAGAACAAACAACTCATCTGCATTCTTATACAGAGACATTTTACGATTCCGAACATTCCACAACGAATTCTCAATACAGAGTCCATGGATGATGAGCAGCAGTACAAGTCTGAAGTTACTGAATACACGCACGAGTCGCTGCGCGTTCAGAAACAACGTCCTCTCGTGTGCTGAAAGTATGACTGAGCACGGAGCCATCGATCTTAAACGTTATGTCCTCAAGGGCCCTGCTGTCATCAAGTAGATTTCGACGGAATGTCCTTCTAAACTCGTACCTACCATGAATGCTGTTAATCTCTTTTCACACGCCTTTAGCTGACTATTCCTTTTTTTAAAAAAGGTTTGTGATTCGAGAGTTTGAAGTTGTTAACTGGAAGTGTCATATCTATATGGACATCTTGTCCTTCTTCTCCCGTGTATGTTCCCAGGTTATCGGTGCGGTAGCGTAGCCTAGTGGTTAAAGTGTTCGCGCGTCACGCTGAAGACCCGGGTTTGATTCCCCACATGGGTACAATGATAACATTGCTGGAATATTGTCAAAGGCGACGTAAAACCATACTCACTCACACACCAAAATTACCGGAGAGAGACGGGAATCTAGCCGTGATCGTACAGCCATATAGCTGGAATATTGCTGAGTGCGGCGTAAAGCCATATAGATGGAATATTGCTGAGTGCGGCGTACATCCATATAGCTGGAATATTGCTGAGTGCGGCGTACAGCCATATAGCTGGAATATTGCTGAGTGCGGCGTACATCCATATAGCTGGAATATTGCTGAGTGCGGCGTACAGCCATATAGCTGGAATATTGCTGAGTGCGGCGTACAGCCATATAGCTGGAATATTGCTGAGTGCGGCGTACATCCATATAGCTGGAATATTGCTGAGTGCGGCGTACAGCCATATAGCTGGAATATTGCTGAGTGCGGCGTACAGCCATAAAGCTGGAATATTGCTGAGTGCGGCGTACAGCCATATAGCTGGAATATTGCTGAGTGCGGCGTAAAACAACAACCAACCAATATGTCCTTACTCCATCGCTTCCCAAGATACAGATGCATCACGTCAGTAACTGAATAAGGCGCGTGGATCGGAATGATCAAATCGTCGCAGACATCGCAAGCTAAATTGTGTGAATTACCAGTTAACAATACAGAGGCAAGGGGAGCAAATACAAATCGCATTTCCTCAGGATGGACTTTTCTTCCCCACATGAAAAATGGATTGTTCTGTAACCACGTATGAGAATGTTCAAACTGTTAAATTTAGCGAACTACTTATTCTAAAATGTTTGCATAAAATTTGTAAGAATGAAAATATATCTCCGTCTGTAACCGATATCTGCTCTTTCACTTATGTGGGTAAATTCATCGATACATATCGAAGTTTTGTGTTTTCCTTGTTTGTTTGAAAGTTCAAATTGGTGAATGAGTTTTATTTTGTTGTTTACCTGCTGTGTGTGGTTTACAGTTTAAAGTGTTATGTGATCATGAATTTCATATTATTTGTTTTGTTTACCTGCTTTTGTGTGGTTTACAGGTTATAAACTGTTCTATAAAATTACAGCAATGATTTTCTTTATATAGTTCAAGTAAAGATGCCTCAGACGGTTTCAGATGATTGAAACCTGAATATCATATAAATTAGAAAACCGTACAAAATCAAAAGGGATTCGCGCTCAATTCAAAGGAATTCAAACTTTAAGATATTTCGATGAATTATATTTATATAAATAATACATTCCCAAAATGTGACTTCGCTATGTCTTTATAACATAGTTTCTGAAAACGTATGTGACCATATGTGACCAACAGAACCCCATTTAAGCCCTTCTGTGATAACACGACACTGGCAGGTTAAGCCAGGTTAAAACGGCTTAGATGTACAACAAGAACTATTTGTACAATATTTGACATTTTTCCGTGACTTTGAATACGCCATGCTTGTTCAATATAATACACAGACACACGTCGTCATAGCCTACCCTATTGTAGCTCTGCACCTATATTATTTTCGTATTTCTCAAAGCTCCATACAAAGGTATATGTTTTTTTTCTCTTGCTTCCTAAATTTAGATTAATTTTTAGAAAATAAATAAATCGTTTGTATTTTTTTGACATTTTTAAATGTCGCTAGTTGTCATGGATGCCTTCGCGCGGTTTAACCTTTGATAAACATGGTGATCTCGGTTCGTTTTCGGTAACCTCTCTGAGACACATTAAACTCGATCCTTCTGCGTTATCACGTACATAAATCCGAGTCTGGTTGTCTGGGATATACAATCCATTGACACATGCTGATATAGCTTTTAACCTGTCGTGTTTGGAACCAGCAACATATATTGCTGAAAACTTGAACGATGTTGGCTTTCAGGCGTATGATAAATTTATATACGTGATTATATTCCCCATAACTGTGAACTTGAATACGAAAGGTTGTGCATATTAAGATAAGAACGGTTTTGATAAGCCATCTACAGCAATCTGTTGTTGATGTTGGAGAACGTCGTGAGTGTGTAGTGTTGTTGGAGTCAACCCCGTTCGGTCATTCACTTCAATAATCCTGGCAGTTGAGCAACAAGACATTTCCTCAGATATATATTTAGAACTTTACAATACAGTGTGTAACGTGTCATTTGATTTGGATAAGACAAACCAAAGGTTGACAGTAGGAACATCCGCTCCTCCGAGTATGGGTTCGATTACACACAGAAGGATCCGTGAAGATCAGGGTTATAATTGGTCTTCAGCAACCCGTAGTTGTCGTAGGAGGCGACTAACGGGATCGGGTGGTCAGGTTCGCTGACTTGGTTGATGCGTGTCATCGTATCTCAGTTTCCTAGGTCGATGTTCATGATGTCAATCACTGGATTATTTCTGACCGCCGTCATATAGCTGGAATATTGCTGAGTGAGGCGTTAAACAATAAACAGCCAAACACACCGAGGCTGGGTCCCAGCTGGAAAGTGGTTATCCAGTATTGTTTACATCCATGTTGGGGATCAGAGAAGATCAATAGTGCTTGTAAGAGCCGACCAAACCGGGGATCGGGTGGTCAGGTTTTGTGGCTTGGATGGCTGTAAACCGTCATGTGCTGGTGCCGCGTTTAGATAGGTTCCAGCCACTTTAAAAAAGAGGACTTCAAAAGTGTGGGGTAGTGTGGAGAATCAAACTCCTGCCTCTCTCGAACGCTTGACCCACTGGGCGACTCCACCCCGAAACACGCTGTGACCAACCTGGCGCTAGAATACTCGATAACGCTATATGTACACTTCTTTAACCAACATGGTTGGAGGGGTGGTGGGTTAGCCTAGTGGTTAAAGCGTTTGCTCGCCATGCTGAAGACACGGGTTCGATTCCTCACACAGGTACAATGTGTGAAGCCCATTTCTTGTATACCCCGCCGTGATATTGCTTGAATAGTGCTAAAAGCGGCGAAAAAATAAACTCACTCACTCAATATGGTTGGACTTTGGTTGTCAGGGAATGGCAGATAAACGGACGTAACATGAAGATAAACCAGGTGTTCCTTACTTTTTTGAGTAGCATATAATACCGCTTATTACTTCAACACCAAAGGCAGGGTACCCGTACGTATACACTGTACTATGTATATTGAATATGTTCCCACCCTGGGTATACAATACGTCGGCCTATATCCTCATATCTACACTATACATCCCAATACGTGAATCAACACCCATTATCCTGCAATCTAAGTCATGTTGTGAAATGTGTGCCTGTACCGGGGTCTGGTCGAGTCACGGCTATCTCCCCATCAGCACCCATCATCAGGTGAACTTACCACCCTACACCGAACTATAGCAAGGTCTCGTTACAATCTGACTCACGGAACAGGGGTATGGTGTCTGGATTTGTGAATTCCAAAGCGATATATCAAAGTGCTTGAAGGTTATAGGGAAAATACAAGTTTTTATAAACACAATTTATCAAAATCATAAAACAGCCCTGGTAATAAACCACAGACAGAAGAAACGAGATACTTTACTTATTATATACATATGCGTATTTATGTCAATACAATTCTGTCGAAATAGCTTTAAAGGGCCATTAACACTAGTGATAGAAGCATGTAGTTCGTCTTTCATACCTTTCTAGGAAGATGTAGTGAATGAGTTATGTCTTACGTCGCTTTTAGCAATGTTCCAGGAATATCACGGCGGGGGCTACCGGAAATGGGCTTCAGGCATAGTACCAATGTGGGGAATCGAACCCGGATCTTCGGCGTGACGAGCGAACGCTTTAACCGCTAGGCTGTCCCGCCACCCCCTATGAAGATATAATGTACTTGTCTATTCTATGTCTTGGGAAAAAACTGTTTTCATTCTCTAGAGAGCATGTGTTTCTATATAGAACATGTTTTACCTTGTTGTCTGAGGGGACGCAACTCATTGTGTAGAGGTGCGTCCTTTTGATTCTATGATCCGCTGGTCTCGGATTCGAACCCCACACAATGGTCTTTGGTATATCCGCATTGTAAGCTTCACCAGAGCTGTAAATGTCCACGACTTGTGACCGTCTGCCATTTCCTTCACAGCCATATTATAACAGAATAATGTTCCATAGCGCGGAACCAGAAGTATCAACCACTGTATTTATATACCACAACTGTATATATATCCAACAACTGTATTTACTTACCATCCACACAGTAGCCCATGAGTACAGCCAGGACGACATATCGCATCACACATCCCCCCATCCTTGCAGGAGGCGTATCCCTTCTACGTTTTGAATTTAGCGCCGAAGTAACTTGTGTGAGTCATGTCTGCGTGGCCTGCGGCAGGCGGATGCCCATGACAGTCTGTCAAAGAAACAAAACAATATACAGATAATGGCCAAATCCCCCAAAGGGGATAATGGTTACCAGATTCAAGTTAAAAAATCACTAAAACATATGATAGTTCCACTTTACACACGCCTATATTAGACCCTGTGTGGAAGATTAGGTTACTTAAGTTACCTTGAACGGACACAAAGTGAAATTTACCAAGGGTGAGAAATCACTCCCCTCTCAGGACCAATATATAATTATATAAATACAACTAAATTCAACATTTATAAAGCAAACTTTCTAAACGACCACCACATTTCCAATATATCAAAAGGGATATAACCAATGCATATCATATAGACAGATATACCTCATCCTTAACTTGTGATTACACCAAATTCACGAAATACTGGTCAATATGCCATTGTCTATTTACCTGAACAATACATCTCCTGTAAAAGCCATAACCGTCAGCTACTGAATTGTCATACCCATTTTGATTAGATATTCTCTTTTTTTTATGTGTATTGAACTATGAACTATCCATTTGCTGTAAAACATATACCGGTGAAAAGAAATAAAATTATAAAAATATATGTTTATATATATAACCTTCCATATGTAACCTATTCCTTTCAGAATGAAATCGCTATTTATTTATTTATTTATTTATTTATTTATTTATTTATTTATTTATTTATTTATTTATTTTCAAATAAAAAGCATATGTACATGTCATGTGTTCATATTCATACACAATTAAATATAAGATGGTTCCTTGTGGGGAGGGGCGGTGGGGTAGCCTATAGTGGTTAAAGCGTTTGCTCGTCACGCCAAAGACTCGGGTTCGATTCCCCACATGGGTACAATGTGTCAAGCCCATTTCTGGTGTCCCCCGCCGTGATATTGCTGGAATATTGTTAAAAGCGGCGTAAAACCATACTCACTCACTCACCTTCTGGGGAAATGTCTTGTGGTTTTGCGGGTAATATTGGCCTGAGGGGGACTGCCCGTGTTCGAAAAGAGTCCATGTAGGAAAATGACCAGGTGGTCTTTGGACTTGGCACATGACTCTTTGTACGCACAGCACACTCTGCGGGCCTTCCCGTTGGCCAATGAAACATGTTGCCGTTATAAACAGTTTGGCAATATGGTCTCGTTAGCGTATTCAGGGAAACATCACTGGGACAGACCCCGTTAATCACGAATCCCCGCTTTCAAGAAACGACGTAAAAACATTGATTTGTTAATCCCGATTACAGATAATCTGACAATCCTGTCGACTTCACTTGACATTAACACAATACCGGTTACAAAGGTTCTGGGGGCGGTGGTAGCCTAGTGGTTAAAGCGTTCGCTCGTCACGTCGAAAACCCGGGTTCGATTCCCCACATGGGTACAATGTGTGAAGCCCATATCTAGTGTCACCCGCCGTGATATTGCGGGAATATTGCTATTTAAAGCGGCGTAAAACTAAACTCACTCACGCGATACAAAGATTCTGCAGTATATGTAGATATATGCATGACTGTTTAGCAAAAGTGAAGGAGCCTACTGGTCTGAGACGGTATCATGCTGAGTTGCTTCCCTTGACTATACCAGGATCGTAAGTTCTACAGTCTTACTTTCTCCGACTGTCTGTCTGCACCAAAATGCTCCATCAGATGAGTGACTGATGTTACTGTAATTATCAAATCTGGACAAAGCAAAAAACCAGTGACTAACCAAAACAAAGGAGCAACGATTCTACAGCAATGAATCAAATTCCCCACAAGACACAGTTAACTAAAATACTCTATAAATGGCTTTGAATCCAACTCACTCACTCGCTCATCAATGGGTCACTCAGACAATAACCGATACATTATAACTTGCGTATCTGTGTCAGTCAGAATCCAAGACAATCGGTGCCAACGCACGTGTGAATACTCTAGACAACACTCTGTCTCTGTAACTTCTGAATACCCCTGTGTTTAAGTCTGCAGAACGATGTGTGTTTATTCTGCAGCTAAAAGAGTGCAGCACAGGCCGAGGAAGTTTAGGGAAAGACTTCTGTATTCCTATGTATTCAAATATTGTTTAATGTGCTGATAGTGTTTATGTTAAGCGTTTACTTTCAATGATGTCATGGGCAATGCGCACCTTCTCGCCGTAAACAGAGAAACGATGGAAGGATAACGGTAAAGTAAACGGGCATGAAAGCCGGTCATTCTTCCCGATCTGTGCGGGCGGTCAGCGTAATCACAATTATCTCATAACGTATACAAACATCAACTTTGCAATTAAATACGTAATAAGAAGAAAATACTGTCAGATATATCAAAACATATTTACATGGCAATGGTCATGCAATTATTGATAGGTTCTTATCATGAAACCGTTCTGAGTCTGAAATGTTGTAAACTATGATGAACATCAAACAGACAGGCTCACACAGACACAGCGCTAAACACATGCGAAAAGCATTAGAGTGGCGTAACGCTACATTAACATTTCTCAGATATATAACAGACAGTGATGGAGTTTGGAAACGTTTGAAACCCATGGAAAACAGGCCATGGTCGAGGCGATTCTGCTCCAACAAACAGCGGAACCGGACTCGACTAAGGGCCTTAACTCTGTAGAGAGAATTACCACATCATAGACGAGTTCAGAGAGCTATCTCGGGTAGGACGAGCTACAGATACTGACAACGGGATAACACGGCCGAGGCAGTCTATCTCACTGTCCCCGATTTTCCCTTCTACCCAGACCCAACTGTAATGCCAGGGCCCTTAATGAAGCAAGGCTCTGAAACCCCCATCCTACAGATGTTCCTAGAATTCAATAATTTTTTAAACTAAGTTTGAACTTAGTCTACGCGGTAGTCTACCCCAGTCGGAAAACCATTTAACTTAACATAGAATCCGAGGAATAAGTTCTGTGAGAATATAGGAGACTGAAATGGGTTTAAGGTTGCCTTGAATAGTATTTCAATATGTTGGGCTATTCAAACTGTATAAGAACAAAGAGCAAACTGATATTAATTTACACGGAGTCCGTGGTTTCTATAAAAGTTGAACCTATATCAGTGCCTCAGCCACATCGGCGGAAACAGAAAAGGAAAAGCGATGGCGCCAGAAAGGATACTAGTTTTCGATTTGCAAATTTGATTTAAAATTCACTTTCTGTGGCATTAAGATAAGTATTTGAAGGTGCAATGAAATATGGTTTGACGTCGCGGTTGGGCTCGTGTCACTTGTAAAGTGAGGTTGGGCACAATGTGTGAAGCCCATTTCTGGTGTCCCTCGCCGTGATGTTGCTGGAATATTGCTGAAAGCGGCGTAAAACCATACTCAGTCAGTCAGTGTAAAGCGAGGTACATTGCAATATTAACGGGAACTCCCTTCAATTAGACTTGAATTTTGACAAATTGTTTTTGGAAAATCAGTAAACTGGTTCTTCCTAGGGCTTGACGTGATGTCAAACTATGTAGGAAATAAGGTCTGTTGTCAGTAAAATGTCAGTTTTCTCAGTGTTAGGTGAAATGAGGTGAGGTAAGATCGAGCTCAAGATGTGTTCCAGGATGTAGCCTGAATGCATGGTGCTGGTCCCAGGCCCGACTACTGCGGATGTAATAGCCGATTATGCGTTACCGCAATGCACTTAGACACCCAACTGGTACACTGGTCCCAGGCCCAACTACTGCTGGTGTAATAGTGTCACCGCATTGTCACAATAGACACCCAACAGAGTACACACTGCTGGGTAATAGTGTTATGCGTTACCGCATTGTCACAATAGACACCCAACAGAGTACACTGATTCCGAGCGTCCAGTCCGTGTTCTACCCCGTTATGCAGTCACCAGGCAGGGTGACAACAAATACCACCGTGTAACGTCTTCTGATATGACGAAGTCGGGGAGCGAAGTAGTCGGTCATACAGACCCTGAACAAATATATCCATGCAAGTCTAGCAATTATGACAAGTCTAGATTACCTCAGTTTCAGGCTGAAGAGGGGTGGGTGGGGTGGGGTGTGTGTGTGTGTGTGTGTGTGTGTGTGTGTTAGTCTAATGGTTAAAGCGTCCGATCGTCACGCTGAAAACCCGGGTTCGATTCCCCACATGAGTACAATGTGTGAAGCCCATTTCTGGTGTCCCTTGCCGTCATATTGCTGGAATATTGTTAAAGCGGCGTAAAACCATACTCACTCACTCCGGCTGAAGAAAGTCTATGGGCTCCTGTTCATTATTTTAAAAAAATGTAGTTATGAACCGTTTTTTCTGTAAAATATTTTCCTTTCAGAGACTATATGTTAGTCTAAGAGCGAACCACTAGCCGTATTTATATTCCGAGGGTAGGAACTTGGTGGTTTGTGGCATATACAATGTAGGCATTTAGGTTTTAGTACAATATAGTTTTACCTAATCGTAGATGGGTATGGTATAAAATCTAGAGAGAATATTAGCACCCTTTTGCGATGGCTCTGTCCATAGCAGTCATATAGGAGTGAAATATGGGACAAATGATTAAAAACTAGCGGATGTTTGTGTGATCATTGGCGTCAGTTGAGACACACATGCACTTTAGAATACACTGACCTATGTTCTTAAATGCGGGGGGACCCACTGAAGAGAGACACGTGCATCATGAATTCCCAAACATGCATTTATGCATTCGACAACATGCTATTTTAATGCCATCACGATCCACATGATGTAAATCAAAGAAGGTTAAAGTAAAATAGAGTTTTCAACAGAGCCATTCGAACTCAACAATATCAGGCAGGCGGTTAAAATGTTTATGTTTTTTTGTTAAAGAATTGAATTGGGTCTTTTTGTCACGAAAAAGAAATCATCTCCTTTGAGTAGAAAATGATATCTACGTGATTAACGCTTGTGTGGCGGTAATGGACAACTTAGTGCGTCCGCGCATGTGTTCGGCGCCACCTGCTGGACAAGTTTTTGCTCACAAATGGGTGTATCCCTGTTTAATTAGTCGAATAAAATAATCTTTTTTTCCCACGTGGGTTCTTTGTGAGAGAAGCA